CAGATACAATGCGAAATACATCCTGCGAGATTGCAACAGAGAGGACCCTACTAGTGTGACCTCGGAGACGGGCACTCAATACCTTACCAGTCCCCATACTATCCCACACCTGAATTGTCCCGTCACCTGAACCGGACACTATGCGATTTCCGTCCGATGAAATTGCGATAGACCAAATCCAGTCAGAGTTCCCACCGAGAGGATATCTCTCGCCAGTCTCAATATACCATACCTGGATTGCGCTATCGTGTGAACCAGATATGATATAAGTTCTATCTGGCGAGATTGCGACAGACCGAACATAGTCAGTGTGACCTTGGAGAATACCTGATGCCTTCCCAGTTTCTACATTCCACATGTGGATATTGTTGTCAGCTGAACCAGACACGATTCCCTTCCCGTCCGATGAGATTGCAACTGACAGAACAGAGTCTGTATGCCCTTGAAGAGAGGGAACCAATGCCTTGCCATTCTCTATATTCCATACCCGAACTGTCGTATCGTTTGAGCCAGACACGATGGAGCATCCATCAGGCGAGATTGCAACAGAATTAACAGAGGCAGTGTGGCTTTCGAGGGCAGCAACGAATGCCTTGCCTATGGTATCGGCATCCCACACCCGAATCGTCTTGTCGAGCGAACCAGAGACGATGCGACTTCCATCCAGCGAGATTGCGACAGACCGAACCCAGGAAGTGTGGCCTTGGAGAGGGGATCCTATTGCCTCGCCAGTCTTCACATCCCACGCTCGGATCGTCTGGTCAAATGAACCAGACACGATGCGGTTTCCATCTGAAAAGATTGCAACTGATGTGACAGCCTGAGTGTGGCCTTTGAGGGGGGTAGCGATTGCCTCGCCGGTCTCCATATCCCACAACCGAATTGTCTTGTCTTCTGACCCAGACACGATGTGTTTGCCATCAGGCGAGATTGCGACGGATAAAACACCTTCAGCATGGCCTTGAAGGGGGGTGCCCAATGCCTCGCCGGTCATCATGTCCCACACCCGGATGGTCTTGTCTGCTGACCCGGACACGAGGCGTTTACCATCCGGTGAGATTGCGACAGAGTGAACGATGTCCGTGTGGCCTTGGAGTGGGGCACCAAACGCCTTTCCAGTCTCCATGTCCCACACCCGAATTGTGTTGTCCCACGAACCAGACACGATGCGTTTACCATCCAGCGAGATTGCGACAGACGCAACCCAGCTAGTGTGGCCTCGGAGGGGAGATCCTAATGCCTCGCCAGTCTTCGCATCCCACATCCGGACCATGTGGTCCCACGAACCTGAAACAATGCGATGACCATCTGGCGAGAATGCAACGGACGTAACACATGCAGGTTGGCCTTGAAGAGTGGCACACAATACCTCACCAGTATCCATATCGCACACCTGGATTGTTCCGCCTAATAAACCACACGCAACACGTTTCCCATCTGGCGACAGTGCAACTGAGTAAACCTCATCATTCGCACGGAGTATCTTCTCCATCTGAGGCCAATTTTCGACATGGCCAGCGACGATGCGGGGGGTGCAAGGAAAATTTGAGGCGAACTTGCGGAACATTCTCGACTGCGTAGGAGCGAACGACAGAGCCGACAAGTATAAATGGGGAGTGCTGCGTAAAATGGTGGTTGCGAAAGTTCGGACGAAACGCAGGGTATCCCTGGTGGCGTCACTAACGTGCGTAAACTCGGCATGACCCTACGACCAACCCCGCTACTCGTGAGAATTCTTGGGAAAAGAATCAGCTTGAGCTACTCACCGAAAGCCACCTTGCCATGGATGAGAGGGTCACTACTGAGCCGCCGAGGTTTTTTGTCAGAGCCAGTGCTTCCAACCACCAAAGAAGGCGCTCTCCGTCGAAGAAAGCTTCAACTTCATTGGCTAGCGATGATTCGAAGGACACGGCTGCTGCATGCATACCCCAGAATCGACACGAGTATGATAGCTCACTCGAAATAGAGTCCTTGACTCGTGTCTCCAAATCAGGGACGGAAGAGTTGGGCAAGTGAGAATTCTCTAGGGAGCAAATGTTGAAGCGAAGTCCGTCCTTCATGACCTGAAGTGAGGCAAAGGCAAGGTCGCTCTGTACCGATGATGTATCAATGAAGAAGTCGTGGCTCCGTGATTTGTCAGTGAGAAAGTCGTAGAAGGATGCGTGGAGGGGGCGTATGGGAGTATGCGAATCCGAGGTGCCCGTCAAAAGCGACCCCAGTGGCCCAACGACCCGTTCCATTTCATAATCGCAAGTCCCTTCGGGAAAACGCAGTCGCATAGCCGTCAACGCAGGCATGGGAAGTGGTTCCAACGAGGTAAGGACTTGTCCCATCACTGAGAAAAACACCGGGATAGCTTCCTTGCGCTCGTCCTCCGGCATGATTTCTTCCAAGATGCGTGCATACATATTATCCAGCAGACGGGTTCCTTTTTCAGACGTTCCAGTCATCACAGCTTTTGCAACGGCCCACCGGACCCACGCCCACTTTGTTCGTACCCTTGATGTACTCACAGGCGAGACGAGCCCATTCAAACAGGCCATCAGATTTCAGAGCGAGCGCCTTGAAGTGCGCATCGTTGAAGACGTGATGCAGGTCTTCGAGCTTGTGCGAGATATAAAGTTGTATGTCGAGTGCTGTGGATGCAGACGAGATACCATCCAAAGAAACGTGGCGAACATATGGGGCGACGTGCAGAGTGTCGTGAATGTCTTCGAGTGGACGGGAAGTGATGAGAATGCGGAAGTTCGCTGGGAGTTTGCATGGTTGTGAGGTGGAAGTGTTCAGTTTGCCAGCGAGCAGACGAAGAATTTGTTCCCGAGACTTGGCTTCCCCGCTCTCGTCTAACGCATCAATGACTATCAGCACGGGGGCAGTGATAGCATTTGAGGCTATGTCGGTCGGTCCGACGATGAGTTCCTGCCATTGTTTTATGATATCTGGAGTGCGCTTGAGTCCGTCGTGATCACGAACTGCTTGCGCCAAGGCTCGTCGCACGGTAGGGCTGCAGTCCGCCAATTCCCTTGCGATCGTCGTGAATACTTTGTCCTGACGCCGATCCGCTTGCCGGGCACGATCAAAGCAGAAGTATGAACCAAGACCACCGTTTGCGATATACCAGTTGGTTATTGTATGGGCGACAGCCGATTTGCCCTTGCCTGCTGTGCCAGACAACCATAGAACGCGTGGAGCGCCCTCTTCGGTGCTGCTGATCCAATTCTGAATGTCCTTCAAAGGTCTTGCCGAGTATTTGGCAAACAGCATTTAGACGTATCCAATCCGGTGCCTGTGGCGTACTCCATCCCTACGAGGTCCAGAATCTCGGCTATGCCAGGGGTCAGGGAATGTCAGATAAGCTTCAAAGAGACCTGAAAGCGTCTCTTACCCATCCGGTGGACGATCACGACGGTGTCACGAGCCGCTCGGTCTCGGAATTGCTGCATGAGACCGTCAAGAACATTGCTGTAGCTCTGAACCGTTGCGTCCGTTTCATCGAAAACATGCTTGCCGAGTCTTATCCCTATAAAAGCAGGCAACATTGAGTCTCAGGGGACGAAGTAGTGGGATCAACTCACAGGCGCTCTTCGTCTCGGAGTAATGGCTGATAAAATCAGCGCACTCCAGCGTCTGCTGCGCTATCTTTCCATATATCGCTAGCATGGATTGGATCTTGGCCAATTCCTCCTCTTCCGTGATGAAAGTATAGACTTCAGATATCTTCGAGAGTAGACTGGAAACCGCGACATCGCGGTCTGCCTGATCGAGAATAATCTGTAACCGAAAATTCGTCGACCTGCAATGGCAATGATCGAGAAAGAAGCCTACCTTGGATGCATAAGTGAAGATACTCAGTGCCACCTTGGCGTAAGGATGGACCTGCGTGTGAATGTCAGTCATGTACCGAAAAGTGATAGATGACTGTACATTTGCGATTTCATTGGCAATGGAGTTGAATGCCTTCAAGGGTTTGAGCAACGCGGAGAACGTGTTGATTGTATCAAACACAGATGGTAGGTCGTTGATCGCCGAAGAAGCACCTCGGACTTTTGCTGGAACCTGGCCGATGCCTGCGACACCTTTGGTAGCATCGGCGATTCTTTCGTTCACAAACTTCGGGTCGACATGTTCGGCCTAAGTAAAGACGTCAGCACGTCGTCGAAAGAAACGAAATAAAATATTGCAAACTTCGTTGGTCGAACTTGGTTCCACAATCCCAGAATTGGAAGACTGCTCGCGATTTGCTTCAGAAGTGGGAGCGGTAAGATCCTGTAGAGGCGATTAGTAGCAAACAATGGCACGCTCCCTGGGCATGCTCAGAATTGAAATTGGACATGCCTTGTTGGACTCAGTGGGTTCACGGTTAGGAAACTGTCGAGCGCTTCGAGCGAAGCGCTTGGTCACCTTGCCAAAGAGCTTGCGAACCGACCCCGAGGATCGTCCACTAGACCCATTCCTCGAAGGCGAAAGAGAGAGAGAAGACGGCTGTGATGATTAGAAATAATGCGAAGCTCTTGAGACGGAAGTTCATACATCTTGACTGGCTGCTTTCCTGCCTCTGTCTTCTACCGAATGTGGGTCTGAACGTGGCTTCAACCACTCCCAGCGCTTCTTCCGAGGAGGATTGTTTCCATCCATCTAGTAAGTGGGAAGAATGGCTAGGTGGACAATGTTTTGGTGAAAATGGAACGAGGAGGGTGGCACGAAAGAGACAGGCGCTTATCATACACAGCATGTTTGCGATTAATGATGAACGTGGGTTTGGAAGCGCCCGCTGTCGATTTGCCGGACTACTAATATTATCGAAAGCTGAACAGGCCAATCGAGTAAAAGGCCGCATCAGAAAACCTCGCAGTTCTAGCACGCGACGAAGAGAGAAGGTGTGTGTTCATGCGCTGACGTCATGCAAGTCGTGGATGTCCACTCTTGTAGGCAATCGCCTGCCTACAACGCCCGATCATTTCTGTACTCACAGCATTTCAGGCTCAATCGATAAGCAATCTAGAGAGGAGGCTTTCCAAAATACACGGTATCGCATGATTCTAGAGCTACAATTTGATGAAAGATGTATCAATCCCATGTGAAAAATCCCAAATACAGATCCTCTGCAAGGTGCCCGGTCAGCTTTTAGGCTGATACTGAGAAGCATACACCTCACCTGATCCTCCCCGCACGAAACAATCTGCATAGTTTAGGATTCAATCAAGTTAAACATACAATTAGAAATCACGGACCTTGGTACAATCAAAACCCACACAAAATATCCTTCCTGTGTGCCCGCCATTCAGGTCAGCAACCAGCGCCCCTGTCTTCCTATCCCACACCTGTGTCCACACAAAGTCATGAGTCTCGTTTGTTCCCTCCGATTCCATCCAACATACCTTAATGGTTAAATCATAGCTCCCACTGACGGCAAACTCCTCCCCAAGGGCAACGCTCCGTACAAGGTGAGTGTGTCTTTCTTGCTCACGCCGTGCAGCCAATCCATGTGACCCACAAGCATGACACACGACAGTGTTTGCATCTGGCCGCGGGGTATCAGGCATGGATCGTGTCAGGGATGAATGCAAAAAGAATGGCGCCATCCCCTGTCCCGGTATCATTGCAATATTATCTTGAACATGCGATGTCGAGGAGGTCAAGGTAGGAACCGTGGACGAGGGAATAGTGTTGACCTCAGGGTTCGTCGACCAGCCTTGCGACGATGCTATGTCAAACATGCGCAAATGCATGTCTGATGAGCCGGACAACAAATATGGGGGCTTGAACTCGATCGAGGCAATGCTGAAGACGTTATCTCAGTAATCATATCTACTGACGGAAAATTCAGGAAGAGCTTCACCCTCGTGCATGGTGTTCCTCAAAGGTGCTGATGAGCGCGCCAGTGTTTGCATTCCAAACGCGTATGGAACGGTCGCCAGAGCCAGACACTATCACGTCACCAACGACGGAGACGGCGTTAACAGCTGCACGATGTGCCCGAAACACGAATTGAGGCTTCAACGACGGAAACCCATATGTTCTGACAGTCCGGTCTTGGAATGCAAACGTTCAGTCAATCGACAGATAGAGCCGTAGATAAAGCAAACCTTTGGAACACGTCACCAGCCTCCCACTATCGACACGAACGCAAAGCACGCTGTCAAGATGATCTTGCAGCACCTTGACCAGCCTGTCCTTGCCGAGATCCCATACAACGATACGCCTATCACTCCCTCCACTCACCAGAAATCCAGCGCTACTAGGCTCGCTTGCCAAAGCCTCCTCTCCATCCCCCGACTTCGCAAAGTCGGAAGATACGCATAAGCTCAGGACACTAGAATCATGCAATTCACCAACCACGCGCCGTACGCGGTCCGTGCGCAGATCCCACTCCCGAACAGTGCGGTCCTTCGATCCTGTAAATAGCACCTGCAGGGGTGCGGACCGGCCATCAAGCCCTGCTGGATACGTCCATAACCAAAGACAATACACTGCAGCGCTGTGTCCGCCGGCATCTGCGCCAGGCAGTATACGCCTACGATATGCACCCTGGCAGAAACGATTGTGTAGGAGCACGTGCGTCTGATGGAGAAGCTTATAGTCCGGCGCAAGATGCGCACTTCGTGGCAAAACGCCATGCTGCGATGTGATACGGGATATCGGGGTGATGGCGCTTGTCGAAGAGGAAGATAGCGCAGCTGAAGTGATAGGTATGAGGAGATGCGATAGACCCTGTGCTTCGATATCGTCGATGTTCATCGGCATTGACGTCCAGTCTACTGAGTCGTCCCCTATGAAATCGATAACATCTCCTGCGCCTTCACCGCTCCCTTCGTCCTCATCCTCTTCTTCGTCGCCCATACCTTCATCTTCATCTCTTTCTTCGCGAATCACTGCATCCGCAGGATCTGCATCACCAAGTCCATCCCAAGGAGTGGGCGCAGCAACGTCCATGCGCCATTCCCAACCGTGTGAATAGCAAAGACGACGCCAAAGTACTTGGTCTGTTGCGAGGGTGTGCCAACGTTTAGAAACAAGAGAGCACGCGAGCAAGGAAGCCGCTGGAAGATATGTGAAAATGAAAAGAGATAATTCTGTGGGAAGGGCCTAAAAATAATTGATTTATCAGTCAGGGCTACTGAACAGAAAACGTCAGACTCACCCCTACGACATCGAACTGCAACAGAGGGGTCATTCTACGCTGCAGACTCGCAAGCACAGAACGAGGAAGACACTCGAGGAGCTTGTAAGTTATTTCTGTGAGCGTTCACGCGAGTAGGGACATCGCATTTGAGTGAGTGAGGGGTGCAAGAAATGGAATGGTTAAATGTAGTTCCTCATTCTACAGATCAGATACGAACCTTCGCGCTCCCTATCATTCGATGCCATGGTAGCCAGATGCCAGTCAAGGCTCCGTGCGATGCCCTTGCCTTTGACGTCTATCGGTGACTCCATCCAGATACCACCTGATGTGATTCGTTGCTCATGGATAATTACACCCTTGTTAAAATGCAAGCCAGTTCTGTAGTTCGCTGGTGGAAGAGCCGTCCCTAACTCCGAGCTGGTCGCTTCATTGGCAGTGCTGCAGTGTTGTGAGAATGCGAGCTTGAGCCCTTTGATATCTGCATCTGAAAACCCGTTATCATTGGGACTTATCATGATTTCTGGTAGGGAGTAGATGCGCTGTAGTAGTACAGGAGGTCTGGGTGCGCAGCCAGTTGCCTCTAGAGAGTGTATGTATGCTCAAACGTGAAGGGAAGTTCAAGTGTGGACCTAAACCGTAATGATATGGCCTAAAATGGAAATCTATTCTTTCAGTCATATAGACATCTCGACAGCCGCCTTTTTGTAATCGTACCGGGGCCAGCGGGCACATCGGGGTGAACGATATTTAAAAGAGGTTTATATGTTGTACAAAATGTGAAAACAATATTTGATATTTAAACTAACATAAAGATGGGTGCACGACTTCAAATTTTGGTGGTGTTTTGTGTGTCATCCAAAATATCAAATATTCACAACCATATTCCCACAGACAATATGTCAACAAATATAAGAAATATAATCAGATTTTCCATGTCTGCTTCAATTTAAAGTTTGATTCTTACATAAAGCTTTGGAGAAAACTTGAAGTTTTGCCAAAGCTTGACATTTAAATCGAGTTTTAATGTCATGTCATCTGTAAAACTTCAAGTTTTCTCCAAAGTTTTACATGGAAATTGAACTTTAAGTTGAAGCAGACATGAAAAATCTGATTATATTTCTTATGTTTGTTGACATATTGTCTGTGGGAATATGGTTGTGAATATTTGATATTTTGGATTACACACAAAACACCACCAAAATTTGAAGTCGTGCACCCATCTTTATGTTAGTTTAAATATTAAATATTGTCTTCACATTTTGTACAACATATAAACCTCTTTTAAATATCGTTCACCCCGATGTGGGGGCCCCAGATATGCGTTTACGTGAAAGTCTGCATGGTAAAGTTGTCGAGAATCTCATATTTTTCGTACTCTCTGACATGGTGTGGGGCTGAAATAATTGACTGAGGAGGTAAGAGAGTTAATCTTATTATATTCGCCAAGTTCCGCTACTACGAGTAATTTCGCCAGTCATGCACGGGCCATGCCTGAGCATGTCGGTCTACATCAACGTGAAGGCCTGCTTATTGGGTCTGCTTGCTGTCGTTGCCCCAATGGCCTAAAAAGATGGTTGCAATGCCAGACAGATAGAACAAACGTGACACCGGGTTTGACTCTTGACATCAGACACTCTGACAGATTGTCTAGAACATACTATTGGCTAACAATCTGACATCAGTTTATACGACCCATACCTTTGAGTAGAAATCACTTGATTGCATGCTTGCGAAAAATACTCGACTATGATATCGGGCGCGCGCGCGAGGAGGTCCCGTATATCTGAAACGTCTCTCGTAAAATATACTGCACTGTGTGGCGTGGACAGGAATCAGAGGTGGAATGGCGTGAAGTGTGCGTCATCCCAACAGATTGCATAAGTGTGGAGTCCTTGGGAGGAAGTAATACTTACTTGCATGAGAGGCGGGCCACAGGCAAAGGCACGATGATAGACTCTGGTTCAAAATCGACCCGATGAATGCGAAGAGCAGCAAGTGTCGTAACATCATGAGATTGAGAAGGCCCTGCCATTCTCGTAAGATTGCTACGATAAACTGAGACGTCACTCCCCTCTGTAACATCAGACGTTTCCAAGTAGATCATGGAACTGGTGAAGTCAATAATAAGGACCAGTAGTGGGCGGGCATGCAAGCATTGTAGCAGGCTGCAACCTGGATGCACAAACCCAGGGTGCAGAGAGCCTGAATAATGCTCAGACTGATCAGAAGGTTGTGAAGCGAGCGACACACCACTCCATGAAAGTTCAATGAAAACCACGCGTCTGCAGCAATGATGCAATGGCTCGAAAGAGTGTGGATTTGATTGCCAACATAGACTGAGGCTGTGGTAAAGAACGTCTATGGAACCATCACGATGTCTACAGCTGCACAGCAAATCAGACGTGTATTTAATAACGAGGACAGGATATTCAACGATAAGACCACGACCCACCATTGCCCATGTAAGCGTCTGCTCGCCGCGCAACGCTTCTGCTGACGGAGACAGAAAAAGGCTTGGAGCTCAAATGACATCCAGGATCCATGGAGACGATGAACGCGATTCGATGATATCCCAGATTCACGAAGACGAGGCATGGTTTCCCTTCAGAGACGCTTTCCCCTTCAGCGACGTGTCCTCCTTGAGTGATGTATTGGCGATATCTACCACTCACGATGCATTATTCAAAGGGTCAGTCCTCCTCAAAGGCCATGAATCCTATGTAAGGGACATAACATTCATTCCTGGCAACCGTCTCCTCGTCACTTGCTCTGAAGACAAAAGTATTCGGCGATGGGATTTGGACACGGGGAAACAAGTGGGAAAGCCCTTGTTGGGTCAAGATTACGTTGTCTGGGTAGTTGCAGCGTCCCCTGATGGACGTTGGATTGTGAGTGGAGGAGGAAATGGAAGCATCCTGGTCTGGGAAGTGGCGACAAAGAAGAGCGTGCCGATATCATTCAAGGGTCACGAGAGTGGCGTCGAGGGCGTCGTATTTGCACCAGACGGCGAGACATTTGCAAGTGCATCGATAGACGAAACGGTACGCGTATGGAAGAGGGAGACGGGCAAAGTACTCCTTGGACCACTCCAAGTAGGCAGCTGGGCATACTCAGTGTCGTACTCCCCGGATGGGACAAAACTAGTAGCAGGCACCCAAAAACGCATCATCATGTAGAATCCAGCAACTGGAGAAGAATTGCTGAAAATAGAACAGCGGGCATTCAGAATCGCGTTCACTTCAGATGGTCACCGACTCCTGAGTGGAAACTGGAAAGACATACGAATATCAGGTGCTACAACCGGAAACATCATCAAACAGTTCGACGCCCACACCCGCCACCACGTCACACGACAGGACGACGCGGTTCTTTGACCTGACCACATTCAAACCCATCGGCGAGCCACTCGAGCATCCTGATGAAGTCTAGGGTGTAGCCTTTTCCGAGGACAGCCAGCTTATCGCCACAGGCTGTCGCGACAAGCTCGTTCGCACATGGACAGTTCCTCAAAGTCAATCAGAGGAGTCCCAACAGGCAAGCAACTTCCGTCTTTTTTTTTTTTCACCATCCCTAAACATTCTTTCGGCAGGAGATCTCAGACTTAACATTACCAGACGATGAATTTTTTAATGTTGGTCCTCATCTAAGTTCATCTTGAAGCATGGCTGAACACATCTCCAGATTCATCCGCCCCGCCGTCCCAACCACATTCCGTACGGAATGGCACAGCGCTCTGCACCACGGTCTCGCATCATGGCGTTAGTAAATCGGCTACCATTTCGCAGGAAATCACAGCAAGCATACCCGTCGGCCGGACATCTCCACCACCCCCAAGGGGCACAATTCCTACAGCACCTTCCTTTCCGTCGGTCGATGCCCAGTCCGACCCAGCCACGAGTCGTCAACGTCGCAGCTGGGCACGCTACGGAGGTAAGCTGGATCTTATTGCTTCTTTCTTGTTTGATGTTTAGCACTCTACAGCGTGTCGTTATCTCCGTGCCTCATTACAAGAAAGCTAATGACACTCGACGCCCGTCTAGAGAAGAGCCTGTATTGCATGACACGGCGCAAAGCGACACAACATCCGTTGTCTCTTACGCCGATTCACTCCCGAATGTGCATTGGGTCATGGCATTCCTCTGCTACCTCTCCTGCTGGTCTGATGGCAGACTGAGGATACCTCCTCGATGGGACTTGGAGCCCACCCAGTCGTCACACCAGCATAATGGTGGGATGCTCACGCTCGCAAATAGCTCATTGTGATTTCACTTCTATCCACTTGCGTTTCTTGAATTTTCTCTGTGTCTGCATTGATTGCTTTGATCTCGACACTTCTATACATGGATACCAAATTTGATGCCACAGTTGTACACCATCATCGCTATGTACTTTTGGCCCATCGTAGAGATGGTTCTACACAAGCAGTTGTAGATAGTGATGTATCCTGACGTCCCGTTTATAATGCTCGAGTGGTATGTAATATGGGTGTTGACGAAATACGAGATGCAGCCCATATCCAATACGCACATAAAGGAAATGCCACCACAAAAATAAATTATATAGATCATGGTGTTTGAGAAGCATGCTCCCAGCTCCCGTCTCCGCTGCCGCTGCCGCTCCCAGGGCTTAAAGATCTAACATCAGGACTCGCATCATGCTCCGCTTGAGGCTCGTCTCTGTACACAAGGGCAGGGCCAGCAGCTGATGGCTCGTCGTCGTCCAAGAACCCAGAGTGAAACCCTACACCATGCAATCGAGTCTCCTCATCTGCATCCTCGTCATCCGACAGCTCCCCAAACGCATCATACAGTTCCTTGGCACGGGGCCTGCCTTGCCTTGAGACCGAGTTCATCTGCAGTTCATCGCCCGCACTAAGCGCAGCGTACGCCCGATGCTTCACGCGGCGTCTCCAGAAGAACACTGCTGCACCAACACCAAAGAGCACTACTGCGCCAATAGCGCCGAAGAACCATTTCTGGCTAGACACGAGGTTGGACATGTCTGAGAACCACCCTTCGTCTGGTGTGGGCGTCATCGTTGCGGTCGCGGGTACGGACGGGGATGGGAACGCAGGTTTGTTGGCTTCGCCTTCGGCAGTACCGTGATCGTCTGGGAGACCAGAAGTGGGCTTAGGATGGGATTTGCTTGATGTCGATGTGGGGATGTTAATTGCGTCGTCGTCAGCTGTGGAAGGAAGCTGATACTCTGAAAGCGGAAGAACGTAAGTTGTTAAGACACTGGGATCGATGGATGAACCCCAGAACATGAGACGCCAGCCATGGAAGGTTCCATTGTGCCCTTCGGATGATTGATCAGAGACCTTGAGCGTCCAGGTGCCAACCGCATTTTCACCCCTACGAAAACACTTAACAACCTTGAATGAGTCTTGTAAAACACAACAATCATACCAGTGCTTGACGGACATGAATCTCCACCCTCTGAAACCAGTCCTGTCGCGGTCGCCATCCCGCTTAGCTGCAAGAACGCTGCGTACCCCACCAGGGCTCGTAAGCTCGACTTCGACATCCCCACGCTTGGTGTGAGATATCCAGACTCTAACCGTCACGTGCTCCAACCCCTCAAAGTTGTGCGTGTCAAGCATGTCTTGCGTCACCGTGAACGAGCTCATGACACCTCCAGGGATAATCAACTGCCCGCCTTCCATGTCCCCGTCTTCTGTGAGTAAAGTACCGTTGTTGATTTGCACAGCAGGAGGGTGGAAGCGCGCTTGCGGTTTCACAAGCTGCCAATCCTGTGCTGCTTGAATATAGGCATAGGCATTGAGCTGCCCGAAGCCATATTTGTACGAGTACATCTGTCCAGAAGCCATGAGTCCCCAGTCAGGATCCTCAGGGTTTATCATCTGGGCGGTTTTCACGCAAAGATGTTGTATATCTCGCCATGTCAGGTCAGGCCTGTCATGAAAAAAATGTTAATGCAAGTCCTGTGAAGGGATAAAAGTCTCACCGAACTTGAAGCACCAACGCAAATACACCAGCAGCATTGGGGGCGGCGGCGGAGGTGCCACCGTGATTGCTGGAACATTTATTATTGGTGTCAGTAGTGACCTTCGAATAAGTTCAGTTGGCTTCGACGTGCGGAATCGCAGGCTTACAATATGTTGACCGCTCCCTGAACTGTATGCTACAACCATATTGGCAGAGCAGGGTTCAGAATAATATGGGTGTAGGCCTTTGAAGTCTACGGCTGAGACTGTGACGGAGTATATGCTGTTGGTGTACCCATCAAAATTGCATTGGTCTCCTTGCGCAGCCCCGTTTCCGCTGGCAAAAACGTATATTGAACCTTTCCCTTCCCTACCGTTTTGTACGCCATTTACAAAAGCTTTTTCGATGATATATTCCGGCGCTTCCATCGACTTGCCATCATCAGGTGGTCCCCAACTGCAACTAAAGATGGACACATTGTGCAAGCCGTAGTTCAAGGCAGCCGCCTCGTCGGAGTCGGTTATAGGTCCAGATAATATGCGTACGCCGGCAACTTTTGACTTGTAAGCGAGTCCGACACCGCAGACATCGTTTTTGACTGCGGCGACCTGACCAGCACAGCGCGTGCCATGATTATCATTAGAAAGAACTGGGGTGGGCAGATCGGTGTGGTCGTTAAAGTCATATGAATTGTCAGCATCCTTTGAAAAAATCAGCGCCGAAATGAATCACACAGAGTATGGCGCACAAAGTTTTCAGCCAAGTCCCGACTCCGGTAGTCCAATCCATCATCCACCAACGAAGTAATGATACCTTCCCCCGTGATGCCCATTTCCCACACACCCGTCACGTTCATCATATGCTCGGGGTACTGGTCGTTAACGATATGCCATTGCTGTGTAAATAGGGGGTCAACAAATCCAAGTTGTTCTGCAATGATCTCAGAAGCTTTCGGTTGAGGGTCGCCGGGAGTAACGGGAGGTGGTGCACGTTCTAGGAAAGAGCCGTCTCGCTTTGTCCGTTGGCGGGGTATCTGGGGCGATAAATATTTTATGGACGATAATATGCGATGTGCACGGGCTTGGCGACCCGCCCGCGGATATAAACTAGTGGAATGGGCTGCAAGGGTGGCCAAATCCTCGAACTTGCGAAGGACTCTGTCTGATACTGTCCTTGGAGAAACGCTGGACACGAGCTTTGCGGAGCGCACGAGCCATATGTTTCGCAATTCCCCGACCTGTTCGACAAGTTCCACTCCAAGTTCTTCGGTGCATTCATTTAGAGTTGCACCTGCGGAAGGGTAATGCTCGAGTACATAATAATCGTGTGTTGTATAAGAGCGCTTGGCTGGCTGTGAAGTGCAGATGCATTGCTGAATCAAAAAAGCTAGAAGAAGCTGGAGGGGCAGTCGCATGACAGTTGTCAACAATTGGGAATGACTGCGAGCGATTTTGCTACCGACTATCTCGGATAATTATACTATTGCCACGTGCCAGTGGTAACAAAGCGCAAACAGAAGATCAGCCCTCGGTCGACCCCCCAAATCATCCTGTTTTGTTGCTAAACTTTTCGGTTAAGTATAGATCCCTTAGTAGTTGGTATTTGTTACTCCTGAGCCTTTATCCTCGTACGGTGACCCATCAAGCATAATTTATGTCGAAGAAGCGGCACTTTGGGCCCATGTCTTCCCGCACATCGTCCTCGAAAACGGCCTCGAAGAGGGTCGCAGAGCATGAGCCCCAGTCCTCACGCGTCGGAAAGAAAAGAAGGAAGAGGTTACTTTCACGCGTAGTAAGCTAGCCACTCCATGACCTCAAGCTGATATAAAAAGGTGGTTGTGAGCAGGTTGATTCAGACGCATCAGAAGAATCAACCCTCGTTGTACGCAACTCGTCCGTGCTCAATGAGGTGGCACAGCCACCACAACAGCATTCTGAACCAAAGGAACTCGCATCACCTGAAGGCACGTGTATTTGAATATCTCGCATCGTCTCCTTCACATTCGTTTTAGAAACGCTGATTTATGTCCCTCCCGACGACGAATATGACGAGGACGAGAACTTTCAGGTCATAGGCGAAACCGACCCCACTGAACAGTCTGACTGTGGCAATTCTGAGGGTGTACCCGTACGCATATTAACAGATTTCGCCATATACGAGTGCGCCAAACAACAGCTAGTGCCTATTGGTGAGCTACTTAACGTCAACCTTGCGGTGAACAACAAGATGTACCGTGCCTCGGGTTTTGTGAAATCTCATATGGATGTCGATGAATACTATGATGATGACTACGACGATGAGGATAACAGGAATTGTATGTCTAACGACGAGGATTGCCTCCAACGGATTCGTTTGACAGAAATCCGGAAGTTCACGATTCACGACATACGACAGCGTTCTAGAGAACTCGACGAGTAAGTATTTATCTATGATACTGACATGGTTTGCAACTCATTTGGCAATATCCAGCAAGTTCTATATTCTAACGGAACACGCTTGGTATATTCTCCACCTTCCTTCAGAACAATATGCCCCCTTCTTTCGTGGCTTGTGGCTCAGGCATCGAGTCGCCCATCTTCTCGTGTCTATGGCCCTGGATAGCCCACGGTTGACTTATGAAGACTTTGTTTCTTCCCTTCACATAACTCCTGACTCGCCCGATGAAGTTTCTGTTGCATTAACCATCATCGGGCGTGAGCTCAATGAGAATGACCTACAGTCTGCCGATATTGTATGTATATCTATGTTTCCTGTTGTTGCATCAGTCTCTGACTGTCGAACAGAAATCTTATGTTTTCGCAACACTTGACGAGCTTCGCGATGACGGAATCTACGTTGCGCGCACTCCGGTAGTGAAGGACATTGTCGGGCAAGAAATGTCTTATCACTTGATGGAGGCAACTGCTCCCCCCTCCCGTTCGCGTGCCCAGCGCCCGCCCCAGAGTCGTTCATCGAGTTCCGGTAATATCGAGAAAGAAGTTCTTAAGCACAGGAACAAAACCGTCGCAACACCCGTCGTCGGAAGGGTCGCACAACGATTATTCGAAAATATTAAGGTTGCTGGAAAACTCATGGAAGAGGACATGCATGTATCGGACGACGTGCCACGACATCCCTCTATAATACACGCCACCAACCCGAACTCTGTGCAGTGGCTGGACCCTGTGGATGACCGTCCTGGCTTTTATGGTTCTGTTCTCGTGGACGAAGTAAATTATTCAGTAAGTTATTTTTTGCTTCTCGACAAAAATGTTTATTTGCCTCAGGTCGGAGATGCTGTCATGGTCGTACCTGGAGAAGACGAGGATACTGCCCGTGCGAAATCCTACAAGTACCAGCCCTCTCAGTCGACGAACAAACTCGCAAACGACTATTGGTGGGTTACGACCTTGTGCTCTTGCTATGTCATTTGTGTTCATTTTACCTCAAAAGGTTTTGCATGATTCGGTACTTCTTCGAAGACGAGGGCGTCAAGAAGTTCCATGCACAGTGGTTCACACACAGCTCAAAGACTCTCCTTCAAGAAGCGGGACATCCACATGCGCTTTATCTGATGCTCTCTGAATGCAGTGACGTCGAAATTGATGCCATATCACAAAAATGTAATGTCCGTGAACTGCCAATGGACAGCTTTCAGCCAGATGAGTCAACTCTCGATGACGACAACGACTTTCACTATGGGTATGCAGCCTCTTTCAGCGGTGCTTCGTGTGACACTGAGCACGGCCCCGCAGACTTATGTTCAACAGCGTCGAGTCCAGTTTCGTTCGGCTTTCAGACTTGGAAACTCAAACACTTCTCAGCTTCTGTGACGACCATAAGCAGTGCCTCGCTTGCGGTCACAAGGAACGCGTATCGAATTTCACTGATTCACGAGCCCTTCGAGATGGCTTCTCTCATAATGATGTCAACTATCACAAGGGCGACTTCGCGTATATCTCAACGGGCCCTAATAGTGTCTATCAGATTGGTCAGATCGAGGACTTCAAAATGAAGAGGGGCAGGTGCATTGAAGTCATCACTCGACCCTTTGGGCGCTATAATGATATTGCCCGGGAAGTCGGCCGTGGCATTGACAAACCAAAAGGAGCCACTTCTGATGACGTAAGGGGATCACCTGCACCCTACTTTCTATTTCTAACTCATATTTCGTAGCGGCGCTTGTTCCATTCGAAGAGCCAGGAGAAAACAAGACCTGATGATATCCGTGGACAGTGTTTCGTCATTCATGAAACAGACGATGCCGCTATCGATGCATGGGTCATTCACGACGATCACTACTACGTGAACGAGTGCGCCGATTCCCTCGACGTTCGTACGTTCGATGACCTAAACCCATGGTCAGGAAATGAATTCCGGCACTGCGTCCAATGCCACAAAGAGCACAAAGCTAATTTAGTACGCCGGGCTCAACAATTGCAGAGGTTCGGTCCGCTTCGAGGGCTGGAACTTTTCGCTGGTTTGACTCTATTTTTTGTTGTTGTGACTGATTTTCACGTGTACTCGAAGGTGCGGGTGGCCTTGGAACCGGATTGGATATGTCTGGCTTTGTGGAGACAAGATACGCAGTTGAGTTTTCTCCAGGAGCAGCGAGGACTTACAAGTTGGTGCGCGTTTCATGCTCGACGCGCTTGTGTTGATGTTGTCTCAGGCAAAATCACCCTAATGTGACGGTGTACAATCAATGCACGAATGTATGCCTCCAGCATGCTATTGATGTCGCAGATGGGAAGAATCCTCGCCCTCTCCAAGCTTTAGGAGATAAGAAGCGCCTACCTTCAATGCCTAAGCCGGGTGAAGTTGATTTTATTTATGGCGGTGCGTAATGATTCACGTCATCAGTGGTGATGTTTATTGTGTTTACTAGGTCCGCCATGTCAATCCTTCTCAAAGATGAATCACGCGAAGGTAAAGCTCAAAAACGTTTCCATACATCGTAGTGACAATCTTGTTCCTAGAGAGAAGACGATATACGGTGAACACTACGTGCGATTGGTGTGTCTGTACTAAAAGATATACTGCAGGTCTACGCTTGTCTGCAACATGATCGCATACGTAGAGTTTTACCGGCCGATGTACTTCCTCTTGGAGAACGTTGGCGGGATCTTGGAGCATGCATTGAAGGAGAAAACTGTCGCTTCGGGCGTTGTGAAATTTATTATTGCCGCCCTTCTTGCCTTAAAGTATAATTTGATACATTTGCACTGTTCGATGCTGATCTTTTTTGCAGCTACCAGATCGAATATAATGTTCTTCATGCTGGAAACTATGGCGCGCCTCAAGCACGCAAGAGGGTTCTGTTTGTGGCGGCCAGGCAAGGTGTTCCCCTACCCGATTTCCCGATCCCGACACATGTCTTTCCGCACGCAAGAGTACAGCGCGTCAAGTTGCCTACTGGTGCATACTTAGCACCTGCTTCACGCTTGAAGTATGGCGATAACAACACTGACCTCTCCGCTCCGCTACATTTCGTCACGATTCATGAAGCTATTGGTGATTTGGTATGGTTTTCAGATATTCCCTTTTTGATAACATATATTCACTTCAGCCTATTTTGTAGCCTCCGTTCGACTGGTATGCACTGTTGTTTCAAAATTTGGGAACCTGGCTTATTCGAACTTGCATTCAGGGTTAACCCACACACCAACATCTCGAAAACTGCTGCTGACAAAGCGGTGGAGCGCAAGCGTAAAGATGAGCTTGGGATCCCATCTTTTTCACCGCTGCATTCTGCAGGAACTTCAGAGGACCCATACGCTGGTTATTCGAAACCATGTCAATATCCTAGTGGGCCACTATCCCGTTACCAGAAGCTCATGCGACAAGGAAGCGAAAAGCTTCAATACCATTATACGAAACGCTTCAACGATATTATCATTGAACGGTACGTTTTTGCTGTCTATCCTGGATTGGTGCCCACTGAAACCCGAATTCAGGACTGTAAACGTGCCTCTGAGAGCGGGAGCTAATCATTTTGGTAAGTCAAGCTACATGATTTCTGGCTGCGTGGAATTCACTGCGAAGGCCGTAGACCTACCAAAGGAGCTGCACACTGGACTCTCAAGGCACGAGAACGCTAGGACGAAATACAAAGGCGAGACGCGATGCGTTCGTATTCACACATTGGCTGATCCTTCGACAGCCGTCTATCAGCGGCTGGATGCAGACATGTACTTCTCGACTGCACTGACTACAGTGCTACCAAATAATAAGGGTGGTCAAGTACTGCATCCTTCGGTATGCATTCTAGTTATTGTGTTATTGTTGCTTGGAATCTGACTGCTTAACACTTTGTATGTCAGCAAAAACGCATTCTTACGGTCCGTGAATGTGCACGCGCGCAAGGATTCCCAGATTACTACGAATTCGTCTCAGTGAACAAGGACAAGATGTCAAAGGCTATCGATGATGTAAGCCTTTGTTGCGTGTTGCGCGCCGTTCTACATATGACATGTTTACAGCAATTCAGACAAATCGGTAATGCAGTACCTACATCGCTAGCTTCGGCTCTCGGGAAGGCTTTAGGCGGGGCGATGTCCAAAATGTGGGATGCAGAGCCTAGCAGAGATGCGAGCCCGATTCTATGATGGCATTGATAGAAGTTTGAGCATGCTTGTATTAGTCTCTCGTTATCGCTGACGGCTGATTATACCTTAGTAATACCCGGGTTCATAGTACCTTCGGCGTCTGTGTGTTATAGATGCGTAACTGTTACGTGGTGCACGTTGATCATATGGAAACCTAATGGAATGAGTAGGTTTGCCCCAGGCGTCAATATTCTTCTCATCCACCCTCAAGATAATTCTGCACATACGTCTAAGCTCCACCTCTGGAATCCTCGTCTGAAATTCGATAGTACATGGAACATTCGCTCAGGAATTAAGAACATTGTTATCATTGGCCCGGGCTACCTTGAAAGTCCCTCTACGCTGAATGATCATCAGAGCTTAACATCCCGTGGCAGGCCGCGGTGGGTATTATGGAAAAGCAGGGGTGGACTACTAGCTGGTGGACCTCATCGCTGCCGGAGAGATCCTTAGTACTCGCAAACTAGTCATGGGATTTTCACCCGCTGGGGACAAGTATATACCATCAGATGCGTAGGTGCGTGGTAGCCACGATACTATAAATATTCAAACGACCCTCATCTTGCTCGCCAATGATGACCACGACGACTGCAAATGTAGACGCGTGTTCCCAATCAAGCACAATGACTCGGATTGAACTTGAAGGTATCTGGATTCTCCAGTGCACTTCATGATCATTTTTTAACTTGATTCCTGTAGCAGACCATCTCAGGATAAAAGCGTCCATCAGAAGTTAGGACGTGCTGGACTCTTGCGTGTTTCTCGATCACGCAAGTCTTTCGATGTCACTCGAATCGACGTCATCCAGCAATGCTTGTATATTCCCCGCATTAACGCCATAATCGCTCTCAGGCCGCTCCAACAACAATGCAGCGCCATATTCAAGGTTCCCTAATCAAAAAATCATGATTTATTTTCTGTCGACTTTTTAGGATCATACTCCCGGCCCACGCAAGGTCCCCATCAGAGATGTCCTCGCAATATGAGATAAATATGTAAATTTCATTGAGCTTCTGCATGCACCTTGATGACACTGCCCTGTAGCGCATCGCTAATACTATTACTTAGCGGGAAGAGTGAATTTAGCGCAGCCACCCAGCAAACAAGCTCGCGCGTCTACCACTGGTATCAATGCGCCACCGAAAGGTGCAAGATTCTGGTATCGTGGGGGGAGCCACACCTGTGACCTTGCGCACCGCAAGTACAGATTCTGAGGCTGAAATTCACATACTCACCATTCCGCTCAGCACTGAAAGCATTGCGTAGCTCAGCTTCTTTCCAGGTGCTTCCCGCGTCTCACACGACGAGGACTAATTAGCCCCGCTGTTCTTTGCTGTCGTTCGGCCTCGTGATTCTGAGACTAGGTACGTAGCTCTAACTTGGCTGCACTGTGTTTTATGTCATAGATCTGCGAAACTATATCTGGGCCGGGACCTTGAAGGACTACCAGGAACTCAAGGTGAGCCGGACGTTAAATTTGCGAAAATGTTCCAAGAGTCAAACTTGGAGCCAAATTAGAATTGTGATTGTGATAACGAAATGATGATTTGTCCCCGGCCCGATAGGAGCAATCCAACCCAGACGTCAAGGCTTCTCACCCAGCCCCAGGATAGTTCTGCATCATACGTCTAAGCTTTACTTCTGGAACCCTCGCCTGGAATTCAATAGCGCATGGGACGTTTGGCATAAACGTTCTCGCGAACCCCATGTCATCCTGGGGTTTCGTAGGATCCAGACTGAGCTGAAATGCCCAAAGAATGAGAAGCGAATTTATGAACACCGATCTGTGACATTTCAGATGAGATGCAGCAAATTATGTGGGTGGAAAGAATCGTGACCTGTTTGCAACGTGTTGACCTGGGCATACCCTGGAAGGAAGGACGATCAAAGAAAGTGCATCCTACAAGACAGTACTCACCGCCGACCAAACCCATATACAAAGAATGTGAGATCGTCTCTCAAGCGACCTTGATCGTCAATCCAGCGCTGGGGCTTGAACGCTTCAGGCTCGGGATAGACTTCTGGATCTCGAGAGATGGCCCTGAGGCGGTGACAATTTGATGTGTGGTGACTTGAAGGACATAGACTTACCAGTGGTTGCCGATTACCGTAGTTCCAGCAGGAATGCAATAGTTTTCCTGCAGACAGATGACAGATGTAAGATTATCCTCACGACGAATCGTTCAAGAACACTTGCCCAAATAACGTCTTCAGTAGTTCGGTGAGGGACTCCTGTGGGATGGACTGTGTGAGCGTCAGCACAGGACCGACCATTCAGAAACTCACCAAAAGGAGATAACGGTCTCCATCTCAAACCCTCAGAGATGAAGGCCTCCAGACGGGGAAGGGATGGCTTATCGGCGAAAGTCGGTGCTTTGGCGAAAAATGAATGATTGGACAGAACTACAGTGCACAATCAAGCTACCTCGCTCCCTTCCGATGACTGCATCAAGCTCGGCTTGTATTTTAGCTTGCTCTTCAGGGAAATGTGCAGCTGCCATTAGCACCGTGCATATCGCTGTAGCAGTCTGTCACCACACCTCAGTGTATACAATCATCAAAAAAACACAGAAAGACGCCTCACTGTTTCGGTTCCAGCTCCAAAAAAGGCGCCAGAAAGATACGCCATCTCCATCTCTGTCAAGTTGTAGAGATGCCCATTTTCTAAAATGTATTTTGAAAACGAAGGGCCAATATCCTCATTCCTCTGCTGTGGAACAACTCAGACATCACGTAAAGATAGGCAAGGCAATGCCTACCATCTGCAGTTTCACACGATTCAGCTGGTCTGTGTAGAGTCGCGTGGACCTCTTATACTCGTCTTTTAAATCTAGTGCATACCAAGGGAGGTATTTGAGCCACGGTATCGAGTCTACCCAGTAAGCACCGGGGCGCAGGACTGTACGAAATCGGGACATGATGTGGCGAGCCTCTCTAACTTCAGGGTCAGTTGCCGATGTCGGCGAGGTCTTCCCATACGCGATTTCCAAAATCGTCGATGCGGCATAACTGCCAAGAGCACGTAAGTAACATACTACGAGACCCCGGCGCCGACACGTAGAAAACCGCTTACGTTATCGCATGGTTCTGAAAGTTGCTTGGATCGTCAAGAATGTTGAGGATTAGGGTTCTCGCTTGCGATATCTGCAGAGGTTCATACGCATCGGCTGATTTGGGCTGGAGATGCGTATGGAGTGCTCTGCATCGCATCGAGACGTAACATGAGAGCTGTTTGAGTCTTTACAGTATCGCGACGACGAACCTACGCAGCCGACGGAGCCTGTCCCCAGCATGGCAGAAACCGAGGCTCAGTCCGCGTGAAAGAATTTCTCCAGCAGCAACGAGGCGAGGTCGATCAGCTAGCATTCTACCCTGCTTCTCCATTATATCCATTGCGGCCTGTCAGGGAGTATTAAGCTTGAAGATACTAACTTATCATAAAGGGACTAACTTTGTGGCGGCCGATAATCACTATGTTCTGCATTCCTAAGCGGATAGTAATCAGAGGGCCATACTCGTCAATCCACCGCGCCACAGTAAGAAATGGGCTGATCAGAAATGTGATACAATTAGATCCTATAGATGAGGTCGCAGATATGAAACTTCACTCGCGAGGGGGCAGGAAGTGTCCCCGTAGTCTCCAAGTTGGAGGAGAAGGCGGGAGAGGAAGGCGGCTATCTGATGAACGAAGGTAAACCCAAATAATCGTTCCTATTACTCCAACACAAGCCACAACATCTAGGGTGAGCGACGTGCTATCAGAAATGCGCAGGTCAGGGAGCTGTAGCATGATCAATTAAGGGAGTTAGGATGGACCTCATCGAAAGTGCACTCAAGTTGTTTAAATAAGGTACCCTGCACCAACCCTACGGACAGGAAGAGACGGGTACTGTCATATCCTATTACACATAACTCCACTTGCACAGTTTGGGATAGAACGGTGGCTCTGGAAAAAATACCATAAGCGAATAACGATGGGCGGAAAACGGACAAGATCTTGTCGAATCTTTGCGACTGCCGTCAGGCGAAGCATCGGTAGCAATCATGAATCACAATTGGCCATGGTCTTGTGCACTGGCTGCTTTAATACGGGCTGAGTCGTATGATGCCGACGATGATGTGTGGTGGCGTAAGTTAGACATTCAGGTGTAGTGCAGTTCGCTGAGCCTGGAAACCAGACGTTTTAAAAGCGGAGATCTTTGTGTACACCTGCAAAAACACTTACAGTCATGAATGTATATGCACGTTCCAGGGTGATAATATGGATCACGAATCACATCTCCCTGAATAAGATCGTACGACGTGTACGAGATTCTAGACCGGTTCGTTGCACCTGCATAGTGTCGCGGTGTTTCTGGGCCATGTAATTGCGACGTACAGAGTCCGAGCTGGGAATGATATAGCTGACCATATCTTTATCGTAGCCGCAGCCCACATCATTATGAGCCAACCCGGCTTTTTTCGAAAAACAGAACGAATTTATGGCGAAGAGTAGGAAAATCCAATCCTATCGACAACGATGCGAATGGAACGCAGCCAACAGATACGGTACGGCGGTAACTCTTTGATATGGGAAGGTGCAAAGATGTCCCCCGGGCCGATACAGATATGGCTAAACCGGATCAACTGAAATCAGGAATTGGGAAGGCGGATACCGTTTCTGCCACAAAGATGGCACCCCAGGGGAGACCTGAAAGGATCGATACAAACCTGAGAGTATTGGCAGCATCAGTTATACAAGGAGCGCTGGGATGCGAGCAAAACATCTACTGTCATATTCCGTTAGAATGACAGTCGACTCCTTTCAAAAGGTTGACTGTTTTCGAAACTCGTGAATCATTGATAACGCATTACAGAAAAAAAAATTGGGGTGTCCGAGGATCAGCCAACCGCGGTGGCAGGGACAGATACTGCCACGCTGTCAGCAAGAACTTTTCGGGTGTAAGGATAAAAACGTACAGCAAGGCACATGTACGGATCCAATTGCAACCTGGCAGAGATCATGATCGCTGCTCACCGTGGCAATGGGATAACCGCTGATGGAAGTACCACGACTGAGAACACCGCGTTTGACAAGGACTGACCTGTCCGTGTTTTACCAGGATCACCGAATCGGGAAACGACGGGAGTTTCCGTTTCGAAACCTTCTTTATACCCTCTCATACTTCTCATTAAGCGTTCATTTCCTATTTGACACTCGAAACGCTGCTACATCTGCAAAACTGTGAAATGAACGCTTAACAATATTTAAGTTCGAAGCTATTACGACCTCTTACGACTTGCTGATTCTGAGCTCTGATTGGTGGAGATGCAGATGGCGACACGTAAGAGCTAGTTCGGCAACTCGATATTTTCGATATTTTTCAATATTTGCTTTGGCATGTTTGCGAAAATGTTCACCGGCATCGTTCCGAGATGTCGGAGCTCGAACCTTGCTTCTCTCCTACTGTACATATTATCAATGGATGTATACCCTCATCTAACCCTAGAGCGGCGTAAGAGGCTTTTTGCTGGTGCGGTCGCGATCACTGCGATCTGTGCACAGTACACTACTCTTCTCATGGCCCAACCTGAAGTCAATGCTCCCCCTAAGTCCAAGGCGATTCGGAGCTTGAATTTGAGCTTATCAACAAGATCAGTGATAATGAGGGTAGGGTATATACCTTGATGGATCCCCAACCACTGGGGTTCGCGATGGAGCGCCAACGCCTAGCAGCGCTCATGACGAATCCTCGGCCAGAGGTCCGGGAACGACTCCTCAAATGCATGGTACTCGTAATCAGCATCGTTGTTGCTTCTACGCACGGCATCCTACAATCAATATATCCCAAAGATCCCGAGCCCTATCACACTTCAGCGCTAACTGGGCAAGACTGGGTGATCGAGTTGCTCACTGGTCACCCAGAGCGCATCAGGTGTGAGCTTGGCATGCGCGCCAATGCATTTGTGGAGCTTATCTCCGAGCTTCGCACCATGGGCCATTCAGACTCCAAGTTTGTGTCCCTCGAGGAACAACTTGCGATTTTTCTTTACACCTCTGTGACTGGCCTATCAATCAGGCATGTTGCGGAGAGATTTCAACGCTCGAACGAAACGATTTCACGGTGAGTTTATTTTATTTTATTTCAAGTGACAGTATCTAATAGTATGTAGTTATTTCCGCAAGATGCTTATCATCTTCACGTCGGACCCGTTCTATTCAAGATACGTGCGCTTTCCAGATGGTTCGGTCCCCCGCAAAATTCGGAAGAACCCCAAATGGTGGCCCTTTTTCAAGGACGCTATTGGGGCGATCGACGGCAGTCACATCCACGTCACGCCTAAGGCCATCGAACGTCCGGTGTATCGTAATCGCAAGGGCTTCGTGTCGCAGAACTGCCTTTTCGCATGCGATTTCGAGCTCAACTTCACATACGCACTTACAGGCTGGGAAGGGTCGGCCACTGATGCTCGCGTCTACGAGGACGCCTGCTCTTACGACTTTCGCACTCCCGCTGGCAAATATTTTCTTGCCGACGCAGGATATCCTCTACGTCCTGGGTTGCTGGTACCCTACCGAAGCGTGCGTTATCATCTTGCCGAATGGGGTCGCGCCAATATACGGTAAGTTCATTCTCGATTGATTTTCAATGTGCTAAGTACTAAGTTTACAGGCCTTCTAACAAGGAGGAATTATTTAATCTACGTCACGCGTCAGCACGAAACGTCATTGAGCGCATCTTTGGCGTTCTCAAGCAACGTTTTCGCATACTGCTCTTACCACCGGCCTACGCTATGGAGATTCAAGCGCAGATTCCAGCCGCGCTTTGCGCCCTACACAACTACATTCGTCTTCGTGACCCTAGCGAGGGTCATCCTCCTGCTGATGACGAAGATGAAGATGTTGAGGATGGTGGTGGTCTTGGCGCTGACGTGGCCGCGGAGGATGACGCAGCAGCTATTGAGGAGGATAACGAGGAGGAATTTCGTCAAGGAGCTGCGATGCGTGATCGCATTGCAGCAGCGATGTGGACGCAGTATCAGCGCGTCATACAGGAACGGGGTTTAGACGCACTTGATATCATGGACGATGACGAGGATGCTGCTGCTGATGCCGCTGATGATACTGATAGTGATGTGTAGGCTTACTTTGTACTTACTACTGTGCTCCATACTGAACAATGAACAATGAAGTGAGAACGCGCTTGTTATTGACACACAAGAGTTATTCTATTCAGTTCACAGGTGGTAGGTAGTACAACATATAGCAACACAACACAAGAAGTAGCGAGCGAACACACACAGCATGATGAGATTTAAAACATTGAAAACGAATATTGTCCTGCTGGCAGGCGGCTCAGCCCGTCATTTCAGCATCAACACGCGGCGCTGGACCGGCATCACCTGCATCAACTGCCTCGCCGATCAGCTTCCCCACGAATGCACGCCTCCTACTCTTCTCCTGAAGATTCACGTAGAACTTGAGGTAATGTTCATTGCCCTTTGAACCAATGAACATGATGAGAGCAGCCTGCTGGTCCGGCGGTATGTCAGAGTCCTCACCTTCCAGGATTTTGACGGCTCGCATGACCAGGTCCTCACTACCTTGTGCACCATCAGGCCCTCCTCTGACAAACCATTCAAAGACGTCGGTGAGCCGGTTGATGGTGCCTTGCATCCCCACCACAGCAGCTGCCGGCGTGATCTTTGCAGCCTTGGCGGCACTGCTGATCTTGGTGACACGGCTGTTCTGGGACACCACCGGAGTCCGTGGTTTCTTGGATGGGGGGGCTGACACCAGCGTGGTGGAAGGAGGTCGCATGGACGATGACAAGTGCGTGGAGCCAATTGACTCCATGTCCCCCATCACATCCGAATATGGGCGCTTGCTGGCGTTAGAGCCAGCAGCGGTAGACGCAGCGGTAGACGCAGCGGTAGTAGAGATGGCGGTGGAACGTGCAGGAGTGGAGCTAGTGATGGACGTAGAGGTGGCGGCAGTGCTTAATGGGCCTGCAGAAGCGGGAACAGCAGCAGCGCTTGGAGCAGCAGGAACAGCAGCAGCGCTTGGAGCAGCAGGAACAGCAGCAGTGCTTGATGGGCCAGCAGCATCCGCAAGATCGTTATCAGCATTGGTGGTGGAGGGAGCAGCGCCACCTGGACGGAAGACGTGCCGCCCTCTAGCGCCGCCCAATGGGATGATGGTCTGCATTTTTTCATAATGCTCCCATCCCCTGTTGCGGAAAGGACGCATGAGGTTATTTGCCTGACAAAAGTCAGCGCTCAAATCAATATGACGAAGAGGGGACATACCTTGACATACGATGTCCATACAGCCACAGCCGCAGTTCCTTCAATCCCAGCTCCAGTCTCATTGTCCCAGTGGACCCCTGTCTGGTTGCGGTACTTCTCGATAGCATGAAATATGTTTTTAAGCTAGATGAGACTCGTCAGCTTAGATCAGATGAGATCAAATAGGGCTTACTGATGTCCACTTGTTTCGAGTTGATTTCGCTGTCTTCAGTGGACCTGCGCGAGTGGATTGAAGCGCCTCATGATTGTTGATGAACTCTGCAGCAGAGCCAAGAACCTGCTGCTTGAAGTTGCCTGCCCCTTCAGCCTCTGAGCGATGATCATAGAGATAGTCTACAAGGGTAACAGTCTCGACATCATTCCACTGCGCTGGTGGGGCCTTGGAGTGAGGGGGAGCATTGACTTCAGGTTGGGCCATGAGAAGAGTAGTGTACTGTGCACAGATCGCAGTGATCGCGACCGCACCAGCAAAAAGCCTCTTACGCCGCTCTAGGGTTAGATGAGGGTATACATCCATTGATAATATGTACAGTAGGAGAGAAGCAAGGTTCGAGCTCCGACATCTCGGAACGATGCCGGTGAACATTTTCGCAAACATGCCAAAGCAAATATTGAAAAATATCGAAAATATCGAGTTGCCGAACTAGCTCTAAGTGTTTGCAATGCCCAAAGATTGGTCGCACACAAGATTAAATAAAGACATGATAAGATGCGCTGATTTCAATCTACTACAACTACTAGACACCAAATGCTACTGCTAGTGTGTGGTAGAGTTCTTTGTCTAGTGCTGCCGCAGTCCGGTTCCGAACCTCGGTTCGAACCTGAACCTTTCCGAACCGGACGCATGGTCCGGTCCAAGGTTCGGCCAAGACTCAGAACCGAACCTTTCCAGAGGTTCGGGGTTCGGGCTGGTAGTGAATAGGTTCGAACGGGTTCGAACCTCTCAATTTTTGTACGCTTTACACTTTTTTAAAAAGATGTAAGTATTTACTATGTGTCAATATATGCAAATGCATGTGTCTGCAACCCGCGCAGGTTTGAGCCGGGTGAAATTGACGCGGTCCTCTGTCGCGCCTGCCGCAGTCGTGACGCGCTGTGACACAGTACTGCACCGTCACAACATGTTCAAACACTAGGTATCTTATGTCGCTATATGAATTCCAAACACTTTGAACTCTTGCTAATGATTAATATAGGTAAGTACTACTTGGGAATGTTATGAGCCATGCTGATCAAAGTCGTTGCTTATTGTTCGCAGGAAGTGAGTATGTCAAGATTTTCGAGCTCGAACCATTCTGATCCAAATCATTGGCGGACCAGGCCACCGTTCCTCGTTCGAACAAGAGCCGTGCTGATCCAAGACGTTGGCCACCGTTCGCAGGTCGTGAGTGTGTCGATCCTCGTTCGAGCAACAGCCATGCTGATACAAGTCGTTGCCCACCGTTCGCAGTTCGTGAGTCTGTCGGTCTTCGTTCGAGCTCAAGCTATGCCGCAAGTTACTGTGTTCATCCTCGAGGGTCTCAGGTGGAGACCTGTCAGGGGTAGCTGATGGGATTAGTGTCACAGTGGCTGCTATTGGAGGTACGTCTTATTTCAGTTGTGATGATGCGATAATGGACGACCACCTTTCACTACAGGCTTTGCGCATCGCGCGACGATGCAGGTCGTGTGCGCGGTGATCACTGATCTCAAGTTTTTCACTTTTGGTTTTGGCCGCCGGTGAGTGGTATCGTTCATCTTTCCACCTTTTCTCATGCCTTACTTGAAAATACTAGAGTGTGTCCTGGTCAACATGTCGCGAATCGGTCCATCTTCATCAATACGGCTGTTATTCTCTGGGCTTTCCGCCTTTCAGAGAATCCTGCAGCGAAGATTGACACGCTTGCAATCTCGAATACTGCAACCGTACATGCTGCTGCGTTTGAGATATGTTTAGAGAAGAGGATCGATGAGAATGTGATCAGGGAACTATGTGCACCGGGCAAATAAAATGTGTTTATTTTAGAAACTTGAATTCAATCTTTGTACAAAGAAGTTCTCCTTGCGTTAGAGTCTTTTCGTTGTCTGTCCGACTCGAATTACATGACAACTCATGGTCTCGAGCCTATACAACCACAGATGGTCCAAGCTTAGTCGAACCTGGTTCGAACGCGAACCGGACCCTCCCGAACGCGTTCGGTGACGTTCGGTCCAGGGTTCGACCAAATGGCTGAACCGAACCTATGGTTCGGTTCGGCGTTCGGAAAATTTGCCCCAAGAACCGAACCGAACCGGACTTCGGCAGCACTATCTTTGTCAGCGAAGTTATTGAGAAAATAGTCGTTAAAAATCTCCATCGAATTGCTCGAGTTGACCTCCTTGGCTAATAAAGTGTCATACACAGGGATCAGTTCCACCCCATGAGTGATATCGGTGATAGGAATTATAGAACTACATCGCTTTCTGGACTGTGGCTGCGAGACATTGTGAAAGAATGAGCGCGTGAGTCTCCACATCCCCATCATAGGCTCAGGTTTGTCTCCGATGATGTCGAAGTGTTGAACATACGCAAGCACCTGATCAAGTGCAGGCGCTTCAATGGGCAGTGCAGTTGGCTGGAACACGGCTCGGACTTGGACTACACAAGGAACTGTGAAATGAATCTAATATTAATATATGCCAGAAAGGTTCTACAAGAACGCACCATTGCTCCTGTTGTTCTGAACGAGAACAGTATCACAGCGGCCGTAGGAGAACTCGCTGGAGGGGGGTTCAGCTTGCAACAATTGACTAGGCATGATGGTGCGCTCGTGGAAAGCTGAATGTAGCTGAATTCGAAACTTGAACCAAGCATTCAAGAGTATCCGGCTGCTATGCATATTGAGATCTCCGTGGTAGTTGATTGTGAAGTAGTGGTAGAGAGCCTGCGAGAAGTCAACAAGGTCATATAGCGTTTGAAGCTCAACGATGGTCAAGCGTTTGCGATCGGGGTTGATGGTAACATTGAAAGCGATTTTCGCATCATCGGACACGATTCCTTTCAAGAAATGGTTGCGTACTGGGCGTGGGGCATGTAGGCATCGTTGAGCGTCTGGATTTACACGAGAAACCCAAGCTAACGCTGGGTCTACCTCTGGACCAGCGACTTTGTCATCTTCCGTGAAAACAACATTGAGAAGCGGGTCATTGCTAGTGCAACCAGAGGCTGACACTGGTGACGAAGCTAGTAGGGTGTAAAGCTCGAAGAGACAAATTGTCTCCTCCCATTCAAGGATCCGCGTGATTTGTTGAACAAAATCCTTCTGTCGACTGGTCTTCTCAAAAGGGTGTTTGCAGTGGGTGATGAGAAGACGTTCCGAAACATCTGCTGAGTATTGAATGAGGGAGCCGACGTGTGGGATTGCGCGAGCGAAGCTCTGCATGAGCTCTAGTTTGGGGATGAAAAAATCGTCCTTAGCTCCACTTTTCCCTCGTCGCGCCTCTGCATCGATGATAGCTTGCTTATGTTCGTGAAAGACAGAAAGCGCAGTCGACATGTCCTTGATTGATGTGTCAGTATGAACCGGATTTTGTGCGAGGTAAATGAAATTGATCATCGCGCGAACCGCACGAATGAATTCAGGAGTTACAATTCCCCACATTGTAGGTACTATGGTGCGCTGGATATCGCGATGCTCTCTGCCAGTCATTTGCTTGACATGCGAGACACCTGACGTGAAATGACGCACACCCACACACTTATGCTGACTCCGAAATCGTAAATCGAGCTCGTGTCCCATGGTTTCCTTGACCCACTTCAGGACATGGTCAAAGAAGAATTTGTGCAGAGCATGAAGAATTTCCGGGGTGAGAAATGTCGCTGGGTTTGCGTATTTCCAGTCTCTCCAGAATGGTAGGTGGATGCCGCTCAGGTGCAATTTCTTCGCCTCCTTAAGGAAGCTAAAGAGATCCCAGGGGTCAACCCTATCGCAGAGCTTGCGGATGAGCTCATATGTATCGACTCCGTTGCGTGGAGGATATGCTATGGCGTCCCCAAACTCCTTCTGTGTGGCTGTAGTGACGGGAGATGAGTTCTTGGAAACACATGCAATCATAAGTTGTTCAGGAAGATCGGCGATATGGCTGATGAGAGGGGTAAAGCAAAAACGTCTATGTGCTGAAGGATCGACCATGAATTCGCCGACACGTGCAGCGATCTTGAGTTTTGAGCAGACGAGGTCGACACATTTGTGCCACAATCGCGTCTGAAGAAGAGTCTGATAGTCCGAGTTGACGAGGAATTTTGGTATCGGCATAAATGCGACACATCGCCATGCATGTGATGTAGCTTTCATTCGGACATCAGATTGGATGTTTCCGATGGTCATGAATAATGGGTGCATTTCTAGTCCACCGGTGTGTCGTGTGACGGGTGTCTTGTCCGAAGCGGTGATAATTGGTACGATAGTAGCACCTTCTGTTACGCACTCAAATAGATCTGTTATGCGGAGCCCTAAGAGGGGCGTCGTCCGCTAACGTTCGTGACGTAACCGGAAGGGTCCGGTATAGCGACTGAGACTGGCGACGTCGAGTCGGCAGATATCAGAGACGCGCGTGTCACGTGACTTCTAAGACGGATGTCTTCAAAGTCACTGACGTTCTCAAAGTAAGGACAGTCTTGTCCGAACGATGAGGTAGTCGATCGAGGTAGACTTAGGCGCGATGAGCACCTAAGAAAAGATACTAGAGACTGAAGCTGAGGGGGCTTCAGAGGGAAGTATGTTCGAGGGAAGATTGAGTAGATTCAAGTTAGGGAATCTAGTACAGAGTGACCGACTACTTATACTAAGTGGAAAGGGTTAAGGGCAAGGCTACCGTACTGTAGGTAAGGGCAAAGGGGAAACGGAAAGGGTATAGGTACGCTGGTAGCAGAGCCTGATTAGTGATGTAAGGTCGAATGCGGAATGAGACCGAGAAACGTTGGAACGAGCCAACGGTAAATGATACAATGTGCAGCATGCACGAGTCAAAGGAAAGATAAGGAAAGCCACATTGGTGGCACGAGTCAGAACGAGTCATAGCTCGAAGGCACGTGCGCACATTGGTGCGATAGGAGGGGGATGAGGGACGGGAACGGTCCCGAGGATCCGGTCAACGGATAGTCGGTAGAGAAGTGCGAGCCGGAGGCATACGAGGGCGAGGACGAAGGGGAAAAATGATAGGGGGGCCATGTAGCCGATGTTACTTGTAACACCTTCAGGAAGCTGGTCCTACGACGTTTGAGGATCAGCGATGCGGCTAGGAACGAAAATAAATGCATGCCTGTATATTCCAGGCATCATCTGATGTCCAGAACTCTCCAATTTCGCGCTCTTGTCCATTGTAGATATGGTGAGGGTCGTAACACATGTGATTCGCGTACACTGGATTGGAAAAAAGCTGCTTCACAACTTCTAAACCGTCTCTCCAGATGAGGTGAATCGGCTGCTCAGTCTCATAACCCTTCAGACGAAACTCAGTACACTGCCATTTCGGTCCACGTCCAGGAAGTTGCTCCAAGTAATAGAACAACTCGTCCTTTGATTTGAATTGTGGTCGCTCTCGTGTCTTGAACTAGGAGACAAAACAGATGCTAGTCAGACCAAGAGACTGAAATTGACACAAACGTACCCATTCCAACTTCAGGAATTGCTCTATCTGAGTCTGTGAGAGATTCTCAACTAAAAACTTTGCTAGTGACCATTCTCCTGGGCCGTCGAATGGGTACCATGGGTTCACTTGTCGTTCAGGCTGAAGGCGATGGTCTTGCATTTCTTGAAAGAGATTATGGGGAGGTGGATGGTCCGGGAGAACGTAGTGGTATCCAGATCTGGGGTGATATTGTGCTCGTACGTTGCTTTCTGGCGCTCGTTTCAATCCTCTGGGTGCAGGGAGTGTCGCCTTTTGGCGATAACACGATCGATTAAGATGGTCCGCGACTGCCTCGTGTGAATTGAAATGATCATTGCACAGTGGGCAAGACACACTGCCAACGTCAGTCCTAATACTGAGATCAGTGTCAGGCCTCGTGCTGGTAGAGTAAGTAGCGGTAAAGCATCAAATGACCCATGCTAACCTTGAATGAGTATCACCAAAATCATAGGTAGACTCTTGAAAGAATCCGGGACCGAAAGGGTCATAGTTTCTGGGCTGGGACTCTAGCTGCGGGGCGACCTGTCCAACTGAATGCACAGCGCCATAGTACTCCATGATGGAAAAAGTGTTAAGTCTTTCGAACTCCGCTGTGTGTTATGCTCTCAACAAACACCGTATACTCACATAGGGGTCAGCAATATTTAAGAGTGCTTTACATGTTGTACAAAATGCGAAAACAATACTTCAAATTTTGAGTGGTCGAAAACTCCATGTATCTGTAGACATTTTCACCTTTGATTAAGTAACAAATATATAAATTGGCATACATGTCTAGCTAAACTTGAAATTTTGGTGGTCAAAGTTTTGTCAAACATTAAAACCCAGTGTCAACAAAGAAAATGTAGTTAGCTATACCCTACAGTATAGTAGGTATAGCCAACTACATTTTCTTTGTTGACGCGATTGCTTTCCTTGGGTTAGCTACACCTATACTGTAGGGTATTAAAGATGTTTTCTTTGTTGACCGAAGAAAACATCTTTAATACCCTACAGTATAGGTATAGCTGACTACTCTAATAAGCGGCCCATGTAGTTAGCCTACCTATACTGTAGGGTATTAAAGATGTTTTCTTTGTTGACCGAAGAAAACATCTTTAATACCCTACAGTATAGGTATGGCTAACTACATGGGCCGCTTAGAGGCCAGCCCACCCCCAAAACTGTTCGTGTTAAGAGTTCTGTCTCAGGGGTATTAAGTTAGCTATACCTATACTGCAGGGTATTGAAGATATTTTCTTTGTTAACCGAAGAAAATATCTTCAATACCCTACAGTATAGGTGTAGCTAACTTACCTCTGAGGCAGAACTCTTAACACAAACGGTTTTGGGAGTGGGCTGGCCCCTCTAAGCGGCCCAAGGAAAGCAATCGCGTCAACAAAGAAAATGTAGTTACCCTGGGTTTACAAAATATATATTTGTTACTACTACTGCGCTTGAGCTAAGTCTTTCGAACTCCGCTGTGCGTCATGCTCTCAACAAACATATACTGTGCTTAGATATCAAGTGACAAGCACGCACTCGGGCAGCCATTTATCATAGATGTCAAGACTGCAAACCAATATGCGTTCAATCGACGGTCAAAGAATGAACACCCCCAGAAACTCCAGCAGAAACTCCAAATTTCTCAACCCTCACAAAGCCACTCCAGTCTCACACAGTCAAAGGACTACTCCCCCCCCCAGAAGCCCCAGTATCTTCAATGACCCGCCCAGAAGCTCTTCTCCACTCAGCAGTAACTATCTATCCTCCCCCAGCAAGTACCACAACTTAGATTCAGATGGGTCTGCTTCCTCCGAGGAATCACTTCAAGCTCCTGCTGTCCTATCAGGACAGGTCGGGCCACTCCGTGCCCAAAAGAGACTTACACGGCCTACATATGGACCTTACAGGCGGAGTGCGCTCTCTGTCAAAGATGAACGCAAGTTCACGAAGTTGCTTAGTAGACCTTACTGTGGCAACTCTAGTGATACCGAAGACGGTACCATGGTAATCAGGCTGCGACTTAGGAGGTTCTCAATGATGCTAAGTTTTGTATTTCTAGGATCAACAAGTATTTTCGCGTGGCTTGGAACGCTTTGATCAAGATGGAGTTCGCTACGTGATCGCATACAAAGAAGCTGCCCGTGAAACTCAACGGGCTCGTTTTGCTGTGTCCCAGTGGGAGATGGAGGAGGCCTCACAGCTGAGACGCCTTCGCCAATACATTCATGCGAGGGAGAGAGAACTTCTTCATGCGAAAACCGAAGAAGTCGAATCATTTATGAACATGCTGGTTGATCGGGACGATAATCAAGTCACTGCTGACCTTGATTATCTTGTCACGTCCCGCGAATCCGAGCGTATCGCATTGGACGACCTTGACAAAGATCTAGACACTCTCACAGACCATGCCTTTCGCACCGGCATTCCGAAGCTGTTATCAGCTGATTTTAGCGAGGATCGATCCGAATTCGACGACACGGGTGATCACGAACACGAGGCCAATGGAGGTTAAATGTTCAGGTTGCGCATGTTGTTCTCTTTCAAGGTGTGTGACAACTTTTCCTGCCAGACTCTTCGTCCTTACGATTTCCAGCAAGGTTGTGTTAGTAACTGTGTTTTCCCGCAAACTGTTCAACATTCTACAATTTATGTAGCTTCCTGAATTTCACCTTAAGCATAAAAGGCGCCCATGGCGCCTTTGAATTTCATTCGTTGTGTATCAGTGTTTGTACTGCATCCGGCATCTCATGAATATCATTTAACTTTGTTCCTATCAGCACAGCCAATTGTATGTAAGTCCACGAGTAAGTATCGATAATCGCATCTCTTTTGCACTGCTACCACAATGTCGAATGCCCCCCCACAACGTCACAAGAGTCGACGATCTACGACAAAGGTGCGTAATCCGTTTGAAGAATCTTCTACCAGTAATAATATTTCATACAGAATTTGCCTGTCATTCGACAGGAGGGGTACAATATCGCTGGAAATCCCTCTACCTCACAGCTAGGTAGCGCAAGCGATGTACCACGACATATACGCTACGATACCGACTCCACCCAAATCGTCTACCAAAATCCGGACCAGCAACACCAGCTCGCGCACGAGCACCAGCAACACCAGCTCATGCACGAGCACCAGCAACACCAGCTCGCGCATGAGCACCAGCAATACCAGCTCACGCACGAGCACCAGCAACACCACCTCCCGCACCAGCAACACCAGCTCCCGCACCAGCACCAGCAACACCAGCTCCCGCACCAGCACCAGCAACACCAGCTCCCGCACCAGCACCAGCAACACCAGCTCCCGCATGAGCACCAGCAACACCACTATTATGGACTTACCTACCCTTCCACGAGCAGAACATCTTTTCCTCCAAGTTTTCACGGCGAGGTTCCTGCCCCTAGGAGGTCCCTATTATCTGGGGACTACCCTAGGGTAGCAGGGCCAGACCGAAATGCTCGAAGCCGCCAGGCTCCCAAATTTCAAGTGGCCTATAGCCTAGCACCAATGCGCTTCCAGGAGGAAGAGTTTATGGATGGTGTTGTGTATGTAAGTATCCGCAATCTTGATGTTCCTATTGCTGCTGACCGTAACAGAGGGTAGGAGAATCAGGCATCCAAAGGAGAATCACACGAGAATACACCCTCCCCCCAGTCAGGCCACCACGAGTGGTAGGTTCTGTGTCAGATTCGTCTGGAGTATCCGCATCTACGTCAGTGCCGGTGTCAACGTCCGCATCAGCGGCAGGATCAACGTCTGCACCTGCACCATCAGTTCCCGCGCACATTCCAGTGCCTGCACCATCAGTTCCCGCACATGTTCCAGTGCCCGCACCATCAGTTACCATGCAAATTCCAGCCCCCGAATCGGTCGTGTATTCACCCCAAGGTGCATATGACGCGAAAAACGCGGTCCACAAAGCTGTCGCGAAGGCAGCTAGTGAGATTGTGATGCGAGACGCATTAAATAAGTGTTGCTTGCCGACAACCTCCGAAAAGCAAGCTACAGCACGTCAGGCACTTCTCGATTCATGTCATGGTAAGTCTCGAAAACGATTCAATGTATCATGCTAACATTTTTTTTTTCAGTATCAACGAAAGACTGGGCCGTCCAAAACTTGGGCGCGCTATATAAAACGGTCACCATGCCAGTCACAGATCTCTTGTCGAGTTTCGGGAGCGTTGCTCGTGGAGTCGTTCAACGGGCATATGGTCTCCGCATGTCAGTCTGGTCTGAAGAGGACGAGGCGGCGCACAAAAGAATGATTATTCCAGACCTTGTTGACGAGACTACACTAACTTTCATATACGGCGACACTCTATCAGTATGTTTCCATCTATTTTCTCGAACATTTCTGATTTTCAGTAGCTTAATGACAACAGCTCCCAGACAGTCCAGTACGCCTTCGAGCATGTCGGTATCACTGACGTTGCTCTGGACGCTGTATGGACCGCTGGGTATGGACAGTATGTCGATAGTCTGAAGGCACTCGCCAACATCCTCGCAACCTCCGCCGCTGCTATATTCTGTCGTCTTCAAGAGCACCGTGATGGCGTTCGACGAAGCATCAACTTTTCTGCGGCAGCCTTCAGAGGTATATACGACAAACTACTCCTCCTCATCAAGGAAACAATCATGACTACTCCGCATCTATTGCAGAGGTGGGAGAAGTACATCGTGCACCTCTTGAAAAGAGGGTGTAAGATTGCTGGGATCGACTACAGCCGCTACACTATCAGTAATCTACAATCGTAATCTAGACTTGATAATGCAGATTTCGTTGTGATAACATACCCGAGGCTCGGCTCAATCTCTGTCAACGAAAAACATAAGACTTAGTACAATTGAGGTATAGTCCCGCCGTGTACGTGAGCACGACCTGACCTATACCAAATCCAACGCTCAAAAAGCAACTTTTTGAGCGTTTCGGACCTCAGATGTACTGTGCTCGCTGGTGAGCACGATGAGCAGGTCTTGCCTCTGACACTCCCCTTGGATAGTATCTGCCCCTCGTGCACAACCTCTTCCAGCTTGTCCCACTTGTCTTCTGCGACGCACTCTGCTACCTGCTGTGCCTTGTTATGGTCTTCATCAATAATCTCCCACCTGCTGCACCTCGTCTTCGTCGACAATGTCCTGCCTCCCGCGGCTCGCTGTCTTTGATCATATCCCACCTGCTGCATCTTGTCTTCATCAACATCTCCCATCTCCCATCTCCCGCGGCCTGTCTTCTCCCACCTCCCGAATCTAGCCCACTTCTTGTCCTTGAGTCGGACCTTGACGTGCTATTAAATCTAGACACCTTATATCAGTATCCCTCAGTCTGATATGACGGACTGAGATTGCTCTGTACCTAGACACCTTATATCAGTATCCTAAGTATGTATGTTAGCGATCTAGGTCATCAATAAAAGAGCCAATTGCGTGTATGGCCGGTTACGGCTTGTATGGCTTACAAACCACAAACAGACTGGTAGATGGTATGTATGGGGATGTAACATGTATGCAAGTAGTAACGGACATGTGTGAAATGTAATGCTTGTACCGAAAGTGTATGGCGCTGGATCTGTTCAACTATTCTTCACACACAAAACTCACACACACGCACAGACGCGACACACACACAAACGAGACGCACACACATAATCATTCCTTCGCATACCAGTCGATGGAACATGCAGTATCGTCAGTGCAGTATCATGAGTGCTCGATAATGGGCGGCTCCTCGCAGGCAATAATGCGGCAGTGCTCATTATTGGCTGAACTACGCATCAATCTTATGTATTACATAAGCGTTGTGCTGCCTGAGTCCTGACAAGGCTTTGCTATTTTTTTCTATAAGTCACTGCAGTTCTTCAGTACCTCGGGATGTCAATGTGTAGTAGTCAAGAGGCTAACACCAACGCCCAGGGATGAAATGCTGAAAGCGGGTCTCCTACTGCTGTCCCTGCTATTTTTGTGCATACAGTACCATCTAGAGCGCCAGTGGTGATGGAACCAAGATGGAACTTTCTCAACAAGATCTACGTACGCTCAATTTTCTCCAAGTCCTTTGTTTTCGCCAGGGAGTTGAAAGGGACCAATGCTTGTGACATTGAGACTCAAGGTACATTTTGACTTTTTATCATTTTTCTATATTCTTACTGCGAAGCATCTTGCACTCCTGCAGTTACTATCTCTTGCGCCTACCCATTCTCTCGTGAACCAATCAATGTCTACGGACCTATACTTCTGGTCCCTCGTGCCCGTTGTAGAGAATCATGCCTCTCATGGCGTGATATGGTAGTTTTCACCAAGGAGTATACAGCACGAACTCATAGCATTACTCTGTGCGCTACCCGCAGCTATCTCTATATGAGGCGCAGCTTTCCCACGCAACGCGCGCCATGCGCGCACCATTCCCGCGCTTCACGATGTATACGCGCGTGCGCGTTCCCGCGCTTGCGCGCCCTATAGCGCCAGCCATCCAGATGCATCCATCCACTGTCCACCAAGCTCCCTAGTATGTATATTTCCATTTCCTTTATTAGCATAGTTCCACCTTTATTTTTATCATAGTTTCTCACTCATATATATTTTTACATACCTACTCGGTAGCGCTTCGGCTCCACATGAGCGCGCTTAGGCGCGCTATATAAGCGCCAGCAGTACATACTACACGGAACCTACTTTTCCTACTTTTCACTTACTAGTTACTACCCACTTACTACTTAGCAGAATATAGTAGAAAGCTATTCCTTTACATTTTGCACTCTTATATCTCTTATCTTGCTTTATATCACTACTTAAGCTTAGTTTCTCATTTCCGCATACGCGCGCGCACTTTCCCGCGCTTCGCGCTAATACGCGCGCGCGTTCCCGCGCCTTTGTACCTTGCGCGCTCCTGCGCTTTCTCGCGCTTCGCTGAAGCGCACACTTCTAGATCCTTGCTGCACTCACTTCCCCTATAGGGTCGAACGCACTTGCTTCTCAAGTAACGCAGACTAGGCAGCGCGCGACCTTACAACTTTTACAGATACAGTCAGGAGCTTCTTTTGTTCCTCATTGTATTGTTGTTTCTACACCGTTCTCATGCTCGCTCTAACTCTTTTGTTTGTGCTCACTCTCTTGCACCCGTTCATGCTTGCTCTCTCATACCTGTTCTCTCGTGCTAACTCTCTCCCACTTGTTCTCTCATGCCGCGCCCCATCTCTCATGCCCTCCTACTTCTCGATGTCGCTCGGTATTGAGACCATCAACTGCGGCACCACAACAAGCGCCCGCCACGTCACCTGCATCTTTGCGCACTGTCCACCAGCCGGTCCTTAAAAAGTTTCGAGGCTTTGCTCTCAATGCTGGCGACTTCGGTGCATTTTGTTTGCCCTTGGACTCTACTTGCTTTGCGCTTATAGAAACCTTCATCATCGCTCTGAGACCTACTCACTTCTCATTGCTCCGTCTCGTCCACCGGCAGGCCTTGAAAAGATTCGAGGCTTTGCTGCCAATGCTGGTGGCTTCGGTGCATTTTGTTTGCCCCTTGGACTCTACAGTTCTTCATTGGGGACCTTGTCTGCAATATAATTTGATTATCGAATCATGTCAGATCTAGTAGTGCAGTACTAATTTTTCTACGATACAAGAGTATGTATGCAAAGGAGTGATTATGTGTGTGCGTCTCGTTTGTGTGTGTGTCGCGTCTGTGCGTGTGTATGAGTTTTGTGTGTGAAGAATAGTTGAACAGATCCAGCGCCATAAAAGTGTGCGAAGCTTGTACAGTAACAGACAGAAGTGCGGAGGTATACTTGAGATTGTAGCACATATACAAGTCTTGTGTAAAATGTAAGGCAAGTACACGAACTTCTGCTTGCACGTATGGTCGGTTACTGCCTTGTGGGGGTCACAAACACGGACCAGACTGGTAGATAGTATGTATGAGATTGTAGCACATATACAAGTAGTGACAGACATGTGTGAAATGTAAAGATCGTACCAGAAGTGCGTGAAGCTTGTGCAGTAACAGACAGAAGTGTGGAGGTATGCTTGAGATTGTAGCCTACATACAAGTCCTAGCAGACGTGTGTAAAATGTAGGGCTCGTACACAAAGTGTGTGAAGCTTGCAAAGCAACCATCAGCCAGAGTGAAGTAAATGGCCGGTGATGCCAACACAATCAACGGGTATGAGATTGATGTCTAGCAATAAATATATATATTAAATATGCATCAAGTCAGAACTCATCAAATCCATCTAGCTCCTCATCATTATTTTCACCATCCTCCGCACCCAGCTCATCATCCACAATGGCATCATCATCCCCATTGATGTTCTCCTTCTCGTCTGCTTTATCACAATCCTTGTCACCATCCTTGTCACCATCCTCCTCCTTGTCCTCACCCTCTTCTCTTTGCTCAATTCCGGAGTAACTATAGTCATTGTACTCCAGCTCATCATTTTCTGGCTCCAGAACATTGTCAGTAGTAGCCTGAGTAGTAGAGGAGCCAATGCCAGACTCTTTGATCTCGTCATCATCATTCCCGGTGCCTCCGCTGTTCGGCCCAATATCATCAAGCGGATCGTGATCACGGAAGAAGCACTGTATCGCTTCACGAGTTGTTCGATGTCCCATGCCACCACCATGAAATCTCATAAACATATTGTGGTCGACAAAACTAGTCATATGTCAGGGATGAAAATTGATTGATGTAAAGGGGACTCACATATTAACATAGTAGTAGATCCAGTCTTCGTCATTCTCGCTCGGGTGTTGTACAATAGATGGTGGTAGTAAGTCTGTCATGTGACCCTTCGCAAAGGCAGGTATCAGGTGAAGTCCACGAATGATTTGGTTAGGGTTGATAAATCCGAATGCTCCAGGGTCACTGCTTGGAATAAAACCAACCTGGTGCAGCCATTTTGCTCGCCAGCCTGCTCGATGCTCAAGATCACGACCAAACCAACATACCCACACAAAATCAATCTGCTTTGACTCATGTGACAATGTGTCTGCGGTAGTGTCATTGAAAATGACAAATGTGTAAAATACACCAATAATCCAAGCATACCAGTAAGGGTGTGCATCAACCTCGTCATTTTCGTGGGACAGGACCATGATATCAGCATGGGTGTGGGGATTGAGAGAGTCCTGTGTTCATCGCAGATCATATGATGTATAGTTGATGTGAAGTACTTTATGTCGATAGATTCGGTCATTGATGAAGATAAGGCGACTACGTTCAGCGGGTGTGAAGGAAATTTCGTCACTGTCATAGTCGTAGCCTCTCAATCGCGAGATAATGTGGTCCTTGAGTTGTGGAAGAAAGTTCTGATAATTCTAGTAAGTGTCATTGATGTCAAGTAAGGAAATATTTACCGTAAAGGCAGGATCATTCGCATTCTTTTTGAGCCACTGAGCAACATCCACAAAGTGCCGTACTCCAGTAGATATGTGGTAATGTGCATGAGGGTCAGTGAAAGGTAGTTGTTCGGAGTCCTCAAAGCGTAATGATGGAGCATAAGAAGAAACCGTTTTCCGAGTCTGATACTTTCCTTTGCCTTTTTTATGGCCTGTTGATATGTTTCTTACTGATTGTGCATGTTCTGCCATCTGGAATAGGATCCTCTCGCGACGTTGTTGCTTTGCGATGCCGGATGTGAATTGTGACTTGCTGACTCATGGGTAGAAGTGTTTTACACGCCTATGTTCAAGCTCACCCTGACATAGATCAGTATAACAAATGATTATGAGAGTCTGTCACATACCAGCATAGTTGAGTAGTTGTCAGTAGTACCGAATCACTGGATTGTATTGACATAGTCACCAAGTGCATGAAGTTTATATGTTTGAAAATTAAAATGTCTGCGATGTTTTGAAGATCCCACGATAAGTTTCTCACAAATGTTGCTGTCAGATCGTCCCTGTGTTGCTTTGTGTGCATTGTGACGTCCATGAGCAGCCTCTTCACTGGGCAGGTCATACATGTCGTACTCCTTCTCTGTTTCACTGACAAAGTGGTGGAAAACTTTGCCAATCCAGATTGTTGATGAGTTGAGGAAGGACAATGTAGAGTCGGTGTGAATGCGTAACTTAGCCAGTCCTTGCCAAGTGGCAAGCTCGAATAGAAGATCGAGTATGAAAACATTGATTGTTGCTGGAAGAAGGTCCTTGAAAACAGGAATGGAACACTAGTAGTACGAGAGATTAGATCATACCAATCAAATAATTGGTACAATTAAACACTTACTTGCAAAAGGTCTTCAAAATTGTGTGCAGCAAGCTTCTTCATTCCAGATGCATTGTTGCTGAACTTTCGGATGGTACCTCGACCAAAGGTAGGGATTTGTCAATATCTTCTAATAGTATGAGTAAGAGAACTATTAGACAACAAAAGCAACTCACTGTCAGTTTAATGACTGAATGGTGTTGTTATCATGCGCATACAGTACTCGCAGGAGATGTATGAATACTGCCTTCCAAACTCCGAGCTCGAACTCATGCAGTAAATCAGGAACAAACATCGAGTAAAAGTTGAAGCCGAAGTGAGAAAGTTGAGTTGAGAACACATTCTAAATCACTTTGTTAAATGAAAATCAATCGCACAGTACAGACATAAACGCACCAATGTTGGAACAAGGGATTGTGGAGCAAGCATTCACTTGACATGCACACTTGTGATATTTTTACCTTGAACATATAACCACTCACGAACTTGCTTGATGATACTCCAGAGCCCGTTCCCATCTTTGTGAATTTCGTTCTCGCGCCAATGTCGGTCAGCCTTTGTCCCAATGCCTCCAATTTTTGTCTTTGGGATCAGGCATCTAGGACACGGACATTGCACAAGGAATTTGATTGATGCAAGAAGAGTTCTGTAGCATAAATTAATTAATACACGAACTTCAATGATAGCATTTTGACGAACTTCTCAGGATAATCAGCTGAGCATATAAAAAAACGAGGAAATACCCTCTGAGAAACACTGTCGAGGAACTCTATCACAATACCAAACTCGTATGTGTGCATGAACTTGTTGTCCATGAGGAGAAGCCAGATGGCATGCATGAGCTCATGCTGACAGAATGTGAGGATTTCAGAAGTAGCGGGTTTATTGAAACAACCCTGATAGAAATCTTGGAGGGCATCAGATAGCTTCGAATCCATGAGCCATCAGAACAGGATATTGAGGGTAGTAGGTATATCACAACTGTACCTTGGGAATGTAGGCCAGATGGTGCACAGCAAAAGCTGTCGGTTTTCCTTGCAGATATTTCGACTGGTTGCCAAGAAACAGATAAATGGGCCATAGGGAAGCTGTTCTGAAATGTGCCAAGTGAGTAGAGTCAGACCACAGCATAACTGCTGTGACCACTGTCTCAAGTGTGCAGCCGTCTTCCCGTAGCTGTGAATGGATTCGGTCATGCTCCTCGAGCATTACAGGTGAGTTGTAAATTTCCCCATAGACACGTTCAGGTGGCTCATCATCTGATGGCTGATAGAACATCTTGAAGGGGGTGAGATGGAATCGGTCAGCGGCAGTTTTTCAGAATGCTGCCTTGATGACTTCAAGTGGTCACTGGTAGAAAGGGCCAGGAACCTCAAATTCTGGGGCCATAGACTCCGAATCATGCTTGACCCCATCAGCAGGGAGGCAGATCTTGACTGTTGTTTCCATCCATCCATCTCCTGCAGAGAATGAAGATCGTACATCTTGAGGATCACCTTGATGACTATCGAGGCGGTAAGCCTCTTTGACAGCACGGAAGTTCACAAGGTGGGCTTTGTCAAAATCATCTGCGAGAATAACTTCATCGACGAGATGGTCCAACTCTCCAAGCGATTTCATACTTGAACCGCCATAAAACCACTGCATGAGCCGAAAGGTTGTTGCATTGAGGAATGGTGAGAAAAACTGTGTCTGATTGGATTGAATCAACTTGCCAAACCCAGACCACCAAGGCCGAGCCTCTGTGCTGTCCTGACTCTTGGTGAATGTAGGTGCATTGGAGATATGTGCAACTGAGGTAAAATTATCAGGATTAAACGATGGAATGGAGTGGCTATATTCTCGGTAGATGCCATAAAGATCACACACTGTGGTGACAGTGATGGCATGGTCAGAGTTATACTGGTTGGGGTCTGGCACTGTGGCCACCACATCATTTGGGTTTGATGGAGGTACAACAATTGGCATTGGTGGGAGATCATCACAAAATCTCTTTGGCAGACGTCGACGACAGTTTGGCAACCCCGACAAGCGATACACAGGGGGTGATGGAGATCTTTGAATCTTGAAAAACTGTCAGATAAATGTACATGAAGGTGTGCCGAATAGTGTAAATCACAAGGTTATCATTATCATCCAGATTAACAGCTGCATTATCACGAATCTCTTCACAAGCCCTGCTGGCAGCTTCCTCTTCTTCTTGACGACAAACTTTGGCAACTTGCTGGGCTTCATGATTGCGCTGTCATTTTGCCAGAGACATCACTGTAGCCTGTGTAAGCTTGGCTACACATGAGCACTTATGAGTGGTAAGTCCTCCATGCATTTTGAATTCTCTTTGACAGCCTCGGCATATAATAGCCATCAGAAAAAAATAAACTGGTGAAGAATAAAACATAAGATGTTGCCCACATTGATGGGAGATCAACTGCAGCGCACACCAGCGTGACATTGCAACATAAGTTTAAACTCTGAAGTATCTTCAAAGTCCGTGCATCGAGGCCCAGCCCGAGTGACTGGAGGTGCTTCAAGTTAAGTATATACTAAGAGTTTGAAGCACGGAAGACCAACTGTGAAATACACACCAGTATAAGCCTGCTTGATGGTGAGGAACAAGAGCGCATCTGATACACATTTGCAATAGCAGTGCAGAACACGTCTAGAATGCAGGAGGATGTGATGAGTCCACGCCTAGAACAGAACTTCGTAAAAATGGCAAAATTATGGCTGCAAGACTCACCTTTGTGATGCTCGCAAGCAAACAGCAAAAGACAGCAACTGTCGTGCCAAACTCATTGACAACATACAAGATTTTTGTTGAGGGTCTGAGCTCGAATGCAGCTCCCAAACTATTACTGGAACCCATCAATCCAACAGAGAATAACGAAGTTCAGCATGAAGGAAATGTACCGGTAATGAAAATGAGACAAGAGAATGAAAAAGAGGTGACTTTGCCTGTCTGGCTCTTGTAGTCTTCAACAGACTCAGGTTTCTCGCCACAAGGCATAACTCTGAGCGCATGGCGAGTTCGAGGCCAGAAATCAAAAGTTGCAGTGTGAGTCACAATCTAGTATCTGGTCAAACTTTACACTCTTCGTCGAGTAGAAACAGCACTGACCCTGTTATCCCAGAACGTGACTGAATTCGGCTCCCAGTAGAAGCACATGTGGAAGTTAACATTATTGGTGATCTGGTGGAATAAGGAATTGAGAATGGTGTCAGATTTGGGTTTGGGGATGCCGAGTATGCGAAGGGTAAAGCCAGGGTTGACATAAACACTCTTCCAGCCAGTCACTGGGTGGACACGAACGACAGGATGTACACTTTCAACAGGTTCACGACAGACATGGAGGCCAGCTGTGCGATATCCATCCGCTTGTGCAACCGCGCTGTGTAGAGCTGTAAGACCCTCAAGGTATACCTGCATGCCAGGACTAAGGGAGGAATAAAGAGCATAACTCTCGAGGGATGGGGGTCGATGCATGCTTGTGAAGGGGTCCAAAGTACCTACCAACATCAAGCTGCTCGTGGATACTGAGCTCCTGGTCTCGGAAGACTATGTGAGGGATGTGTTAGTTCACCAAGTGGGAGACTTATTTAGGTTCACTCACAAACAATGCCTCTCTCCGCAACAAGAAGGGCACTAGCAAGATAAACACATCAAAATATAGTTGCAATCGAGGATGTGGTACCCACAGTTCGTCCTTTTGTCGATTTGTTAGCTGGCGGAGGTCAATACCAATGAGTTCTGTGCCAATGACAGGTGAAAATGAAGAAAGGTAGAAACTAGTGAGCTATTAAGATATTACAGAGTAAAAATCAGATAGCAAATTAAGTTGTATGAGCTACTTGCAAGGTCAGAGTCCGTCAGACGCGAAACACATCGCATTCCGGCAAATGCCAGGTATATAGTCTTTGGCCAAATCAGAATATGTCTTCTTAGATGCGATAGCTCAAACGACGATATTAACTCACTTTAAACATCTACCCTCCACTAAAATGATGAACAACAATGCTGATGCCAACGGAGGTGGGGGAGACACAAATAAGAATGCAGAAGGGAACCAGAACCACCAGGTACGTTTAAGACTTTCCGATAATCATCACTCACCATTATTCGACAGATTCCTCAATGTCTTTTACAAATTATACTGAGGCCTTGCAACGTAACGTTCACGTTGACAGAAACGCAGCTTGTGAGTAACCATTTGTTCAGGAGGTACGATTTTAACAAATTTAAAGCGATTAATGTACGTTACATGGGCCAGCGCGCGAGTCTGTGTGCATCAAGAACTCTATCACCCAGAGGTACCGGTTCAGCCCTGCCCTCAGCCCCCAGTCTTGTCAGAAGAAGCACATGCAATGATGGTGCTTTGGATCATGAGGGAGCGCCGAGTTTTCGAGATGGAGATGGATGAGTTGGGACGTCTCCTGGGACTTCGAGGTGCACTTTAGTTCTAGGTAAGCTGCTTTGAAATTATAAAATTTCGAATGGACTTATGGATATGCATGAAGAGATGGAGGTTCTGGGAGCAGAAATTGGACACTTGTGCGATATCATACAATGTAACACCACCCTATGAACAGAATTTTGCTATAGCCATTTGCAGCGGATTTGCTTCATTGAATGGTGCTACATTCACAGCACCTAGCTTGGACTGAGGAGAGGTACCCAGTCGGTCCTGTATGTCATCCCCAATGACGCCTACAGCATCAAGCTTCGGCCTGGCAAGATCGTGGCCAGGATCCTGGTCAAGCGATGCATCTGTATTGACAAGCTGGCCTGGACCATTCAGTCATCATTCTTGAGAGCTGTTTGAGACACACTCGGACCAATAGCCAGGTCTTATGGTGTGTGACATGTCTATGAGATAACAAAGACCATCAGCATCCCGGTAGCCTGTGGAAAGGTCAAGTAGCAGCAATAAATATTTGATGTCTTATGGTCTCATATTCACCTACATAATGTGTATATCGTGAGCGTTGCTGCTATCTCGAAAAAAGTTGCTCACCCCCAACAGCAGTGGCAGCTGTGTTTTTCAAGGCGGTCTCAAACATTCATTTGAACACCTTGTCTTGCTTCTCTACCCCTTGCAAATTTTTGGCCACCATTGAAGATGTGTCCAGGGGTGAGTTGTCAGCCTTGGTAGGCATTGAATTAGGTCGGACTACCAGTGAGAAAAAAATATATGTCACCATATGATGCTGCACATATTGAAATGGCACATCCACCATTTCATTGATGCTATTGGTCGAAATCCGAGCATCACGTTTGATCAAGGATCCTGGGCACCAGTCAGGCAACTTCAGTACTGAAAATGCCTAAAATTTCTCATCAGAGGTGCTGAGCTCACAGAAGGGGAAAGTTTTAATCACGATTGCCCTCTCTGGAGTCAACCAGGGAATACCAAGCTGCATAGAATGTGCAAAGAGCCGAACCAAAGGATCATCTTGAGCACTGGACTTGTAACCATATACAGCTGATATCACAACAGAGGACGAGAATCTATGAAGAGGTTGATAATTGTTCGATATTTGAGAAATACATTAGCTGACATTGCAAAGTGGGAATCATAATGTTGAGGATCAGAAATTAGGTTGACAATCATCTCATGAGCCTGCCTGATCTGCATTGAGCGGAACTTGAGTGCAGATTTGGCATGGAAGGTTTGGTGGAAGAGTCGTCAACTAAGACACCATGCATCATTATAACCTGCAAATAAAAAGTTGAACATCCAGCCAAATCTGTCTAGAGATCTCAGACTGATTCAATGAAAAAAAACAAGGAAACACACAGTTCAACTGTGGCTAAATAGGGTCGATCGGAGTAGATTCTGGAACAGTTGTGCAGCAAGGCGCGTACAACACGCTGAGAATTGATCACAACCACTTTCCGGTCTAGAATTCACACGAAAAACAAGTCTCCTGATAATACAATGAGCATCATATCAGCACTAACTTTCTGCTCATGTACCATAGATAGCATGCCATTCAGTATAGGTTAACCAAGGTCGCTTTATGTTAATAGATAAGACATTTCCCAACAATGGAAGCGGCACTGGACCAGGAGGAAGAGGAGGTTTATGTCGTTTGTTCCCAACGAACTGCCTGAGAACAGTAATGACCACAAAAGAAATGGATAGGATGGCAAGAACAGCAAGGCTATCAACTGAAGGGGTCCTGGTCATGATTAGAGCAGCTATCCTCGGGCAAAATTGACAATCTTTTTATAAACGCAAGGGGAGATGAGATAGCATATGGCTTATTTCAGCCGTGAAGTTTAAGTTCAAGTTGTGATGTTCAAGAGGACTTGAAGATCAACCAGGTGCATCCATTGATTATGCTCGAGTTGAAATGGATTTTCTTGAGCCTGATCTGCGTGCAAAGTACAGATTGTGTGTGGGTGCAGTAATAATGGCAAAGTAATGAGAACCACCTGTTGCATTTCAATATTGGGAATTATGAGCGAAGCAAGAACATACCGCAAAGAAGTTTACTCACCAATAATCAACAAGCTGAGGAGCAATGATTGCTGGATAAAAATTTGTTGTACATTGCGTGTGAGAGAATAATTGGAGATGGAGTATAGGATATAGGTAATGCGCGCCGTTGACAATTTGCTGGATGGAATGCAAGAAAACAGGCAGTGAAGATCCAAAGTAAAAGCACAAGATTAGTGTCAGTGTTACAGTAACATGACGTGAGCCCCCAGCTACAGATATGCTCTCTGCCACCCTGCACTGGCAACAATACGATACCCAGGCCTTTAGGCCTTAATGACAGATGATAGAAGAGAAGCCCGGAAGATGCCGGCTTAGATAAGCTGGTCTGGACTGCATATAACGACAGATGATGACATAGGTCTAGATGACCTATTAATGATATCAAGATAGAAGGCAAGCCTCATGGTTGCCTCATGTACTGATAGAAGGACGCCTCGTGGTCCTTATCATAGATAGAAGCCTGCCTCATGCATGGTATCTCTGACTCAATAGATAAGCAGATTAGAACCCAGCTTCAAGCTGAGCTTAGATATGATAGAGTAGCCTTATATAAGGTCGAAGATTAGAGTAGATGTTCCTTACTTTAATCTTACTGGGTTTTACCTTGAACTCCTTGTCTTGCTAAAGCTACTTGCTTGACATCCGACCCGCACCTTCAGAAGGACTTGAGACCCCTTCTGCCTGTAACCACTATCATTACTCACCACCGCTAGCGTATGCAACTCTTACTTGTCTGTAGGAGCCGACCTTGGACTCTCAGCACGAGGTATCACTGTCGTGATCATCGCTGTTAGATCATCCCAGTCCACATGCGACTCACCATCGTAACAGTCAGTACTGTAGCACAACAGATACTGGGAGAAAGGTAGATGTCCACTCACTGCAAATCATGGGATAGATGCCATCAAGACTATCACTTTGCCCCCAGGGCATCTGCCATGACAACTGTTATTGCATTGAGTGCATGCAATTTCAAAAATGGGCAGGCTTACCTTAATGAAGATTTTGAACTGGCCTGTCTCAAAAAATGTGTACTAACTTGAAATGTGGCAGTTATGAAGAGTACAATCAAGGATTGAACCAAGAAAGACTCAATCACGTAACAAGGTTATGTCCGCATTTGTTCATCATCAGTCATTGATCGCCATTTGGCAGCAGCTAACACTGCTTTGCTTGGTTGTCTCTTGCTCATCACCAAATATTTCCCTCACAAGGGCACTGGTCAGATCAGATGAGTCGAACATGCTACAATTTGACCTTAAACATCTAAGCTGAGTTAGAGTTTCACATCACATTTTGGGGAAGAAACTGACCAATTGTAACATAATTGCTGTAAGGATGTTCCATTGACCTCTTGCATGACGCTTCCTCACAGCATCAATACCCTATACCTTGAAGCTTTCGTGGTATGGCCCTCTTCAATGGTGTACACTATATATTTTCATCTTCAATACATGCAGAATGTCGCAAGGAACTTTCCGGCTTACTGGATCTCCATGGTGCAATGAGCGCACCACCACCTACCCACCTTATTGCGCTTACAGGATCATATAATCAATGTGAACACCAGGAATATTTGCATGCAGTATCGGAAATGTGGGTACAATGGAGTGTAGTCCTCAGAAAATGTCAACTGTAAGTCTCCTCTCCCTTGCACATTGGTAAATATTGACGGTCAACATGTCAGTGAGCAATACTATTCACCTGATTCAACAATGATTTTTTCAGGCATTGTTGCATGTGCCACTGATGTGAGTGCTCAGTGAACTGTCGATGGTCAGATGCTGTGCATTAATATTGATTACAAGCTCTCCCCATGGGACCTCAAAGTTCTCTCAGCTGGTATCACCTCATTAGGAGGGCAGTGGCGAATGGCCCTTACCCGCAATGTAACCCATCTCTTTGCATTGCATAAACAGAGTAACAAGATGCTCGCTCTTTTTCAAACTTCATGCTCTATAATTATAATGCTAATTGGACGAATATTCACTGCGCTATCCTTGTAGTATCAAACTGCGATGCACTTCGCATCATGTACCCACATGACTGTCCTCACACCTCACTGGTTCAATGATTCAGTTCAAGTTGGATGTCATGTCCCTGAGACTCCGTACCTGTGGCCTAATCCTGAGGTCATACCACAGGTTATGATGGGTCATGATACGAGCATTGCAGAGGCAGCACACTTTCCCATAGAAATTATGGATCAATATTTGACATTATAGAATACTGACGAAATACCAACATTGGGACCATAATTTCTCATTGCCTCAAAATTCATACTTCAAGAAGTGTCAGTGGAGCTGAAGTTGCGCACATGGGAGTCACACCATATTGGAATGTAGAATGGAACCGTCACACATGACTCAATCTCTCACATGATTCAAGTCCCATGCAGTGTGCACATGTCGTTATTGATGCTACTAATGGGCCAATTTTGTGATGTAATTTTTAACATTCATGCTCTTTCCCCGCAGCAATGATGATCACTGTGCCACCACTTGCCTCCAAGTCCTTAGGAGTGCACGTTGCACGGATCATCATATCTATTTCTCCCAATAATAATCTGCCGGACTATGCCCACAAACCATTCTGTATGACTGAAAACATGAACATGCCTAGTACTACCACACCACTGGTGCTCAAACCATCCTCCCGTACTCTGAGACGTTGCAAAACTGCTGCGTCGGTACTCAAGGAGCTGAAGACATCTCCTGGAGGTTTTTATGCTGCAATGCCTAGGCTTGCTTATCGCACCGAATATTTTTCAGGAAGGGATGGTAACATCCTCATCACCAAGGGTCTAGACCACGATGAAGAATTTATCATCCACAGTGTATTCAAAGTAAGCCATTGTAGAGACTAATATCTCTGTGGGCTTGCAGGGATCTTCAATCCCATTGTCTCTATCACTTCCCAATATAGCGCGACTTATATCTCACCCAGCGCGCTCCAGCGCTTCGTCAGCTGCTCTCACGTGCCAGGCTCCAGTCACTCATTAGTCGTGCATCGGCAGCGCCCATCCTCCGTCCATCCATTCCATGTCTGTTCAGTTCGTCGGTGCGTATTCTGATTCTATTTTCATTGATTCTGACATATCTCCGGCAGCTTATGGCCATATTCCATATGTTTTCCATTATGGACCCTTTTATTACATATTATCTCGCGTCCACTTTGCTTCTCGATTCGCTCTAGCACTTGACAGCACTTAACATTACTTAGTATATATAGATGTGCATAAACTGTATAATGACTATCTTTCTGCCCACACATTGTTGGACTCTAAGTCTAAGTTCTCCCTCTAAAATCTAAAGTATCTAAGTACAATACGGGCGCTGCCGCTGTACATTACTAGAAATTCTGCCAATTAGTTTTCTGACTCATTAAGAGTCGCTGTGCTCCACCACCCGCATGCGCACTGCTTCCGCTTAGCGCGCTGCTGACATGCACAAAACATGTTTTGTACATGAACATGGCAAATATTGAGCTTGTAATACCCTTCATATCTGAATCGTTGACCGTGGTAGGATACTGAAAATTGGTGAATTTTACTGTTTTCACATCCTAGTAAGACAGCACTTCCATTATAAGTTGCGCGTTGTTATTTATCATCAGCCGCTATCGCTCATTGGCACTTCACATCGCTTCCGCTTGCTTGCGCGCCTTACCAGGCTTGACCAAGCGCCCAGTCCAGTGTTTCCCTCCATTTTATACACTTAGAGGAACCTTCTCAGTAGCAATCCCCTTGGGCCGATGTATATCTCACTCATCGAGGACTACTTGAGTTATCTCATACTACTCATATGTATTACCCCACTTCCCATTCCTCTTCTACACCGTGATGGTTTCTATTTCACACCAGATGGCAACTTCAATCCTGCAAATGTCTTCCATGGCCGCTTAGTGGACCTGAAGCTAAGCTGTCAGCTCATTGCAGGTCGTAGCAAGGCCTTCAAATACTTGTTAGATGATTTCTCTGCTATTGTTAGCAATCTCAGTGCCTTTGAGAAATTGGCTCCTAGGGAAAGATCGCATGAGACCCTCAGTGTTATTCGGGACACTATTGGCCGCAGATCAATCAAGCTCACTCACCGTCTCTTTGAGGTAAGTTAGTTGTAGCGACTTGTCAACTATCTCTAATGATACTGAATATTGTAATGCAATAGGCCATCGACAGAGATCAAGACAATAATACTAGCAACGACAATAACAGCTCAACAAATGCTAGTAAGTTCGGAACAATCTTCATTTTTGTACGAATTTGAGTATCTGCTTTAGCCCCCACGGACAGCCTAGGATCTGAATACGACATCACAACGTGGCCAGTTGCTAATCGATGTAAAGGCCATCTGCAGGACATCGTATCCTCACATAATATTCGCCCATTACCAGCATATGATGAGAGCCACGTTCTCATCCCACCACTCCAGTATGAAGTGAAGCTCAAGGGTGCACTTGTGGAAGTCCATATGGCCTTTTGCCATCACCACATGAAGACATCAAAGTGTGACATCTGATGCTGTTCTACTGAGAACTCATTGTCCTGTCACCACCTGCGCCCATGCCAAGCAGCCCCTTCAACATGTCGGCACCTTAATGATGGGCCCTATACTGAACAATACAGTGAAGGGAGTTAATTGAGTCATTTCGCCTTAAATTGTAGTATGTATTCACTCTGATCATTGACCGTTCATACATTGACCAGTATTATCAGTGCAGGCTACCCGAAAACATGATATGGGATCGTGTAAATGCAGGTGTTTGTCTAATGTACAATTGTACTTCTACCAAGTCTGCCCCTCATTGTATGAATTACCACTGTAACAATAGAGCACTTGTTGTTAGCTTCGCACATTTCTTCCCTGGATAAGCTTCAAGTAGATCATTCAATGTGGAAACCTTACCTGATACATTGCTGAGACCTACATAATTCTAATCAACTTGGAATCATTAGGAACTTGTCAAACCCTGCAGCAAATATCCCCTTCATGATACCCATGCATTTGGAAAGTCGGTGGAGCTCAGCCCCATGTGGCAAAGATCAGATGGAGCTTAAGAACTTTTTTTCATTGAATGTTGAAGAGTCAGTATGAAGAGAGTCTAGAGAACTACATTTTACCATGCCCTGCACTAGTGTTGATTCGGTCTCACGTCCATCTGACTTTGACGATAGGGGCGGAAACTCTCCTCATAGCCACTGGACTTGTCAAGGCAGGTGAACACGACATAGTGATATCTGCATATCCAAGCAGAGGCTATACACCTGACAGTCAACATAGCCATGATTTTGACCCATGCCTCGGTGGCAATGTGCATGGTCAAGGCACCCCTGTGTACTCTTGCGGGTGCTACTGGCATACGAAAGTTGAATATACAGACAGACCTGAACTACACCAGGAACTCGGGCTTGAACAGGTACCGTGGCTGCCTTGTCCTTTACACTCAGTTCTAATGCTGTTCCAGGAGGTTGATAGTAGTAATGGTGAAATCTGGCCTCTAAAGTGTAAGAGGTCTGAGTCAACCCTCGAGTCAGACTCTCTAGGAGATCTTGTCATGGTGAGCTAGACTTATCGTTTCATTACCATGCAGATTATTAGTTAATGGCTCTATAATTCAGACACCACGTCACTTTGGACGAAACCTGACCAATGTCCAACACACTAAATCAATGCTGGTGCTTGAAGGACTGAAGCGCAGGAGGCTGGGGAAGGTCTTTGAATTAAATAGAAGCACAACTCATGAAACCTTGATCCTGAATGTCATGAAACATCTCGAAGCTGCCATTGGCAGGCAGATGGAGGTGTTGTCCAAGATTCATGGTGTTCTGGAGAGCCATACTAAGTAGCTTGCTTATTCATGTATACGATACCTTTAGTTGTATGCCTGTATTCAAGCTCGATGGAGACCATGTTCTCACTGTATTCTGTACTCTGAGCCTGACAATAACAAGTTATGAGTGTCATTAAAAAGTCGTAAATGTCTGAAGTGTGACTCGAGTCGGACATGGACGTTACCAGAAACCCGAAAAATTCAGAGTCTCAGGGCCATGCCATTAGCACCGATCTGATTTTGGAATAATGGTACCTTTTTGATGGAGTCACCATGGTGTTAGTACAGGGATATATGTGTGGCGTTCCCTTTCGTCGTTCACTACACAGCCCTGGGTCCTTTTTGATGGATAATCTGCAATATGATGTAAGTCACTGTGTGGTGATCCAAGCCTTCGATGACGTGAATTTATCATTTTCATTTCCTCCTCACCAGCGAGTCCGAATTCAGGGCTGACGGAGTTCATCTTGCAGTAAGGCCAACTCTGACTACTAGGCTGTAAGCAGATCCGAGAACAAGGCAAACAGGTCAAGCTAAACCAATGGCAGCCAAGTGCTTTTTCCGAGCCGAAAAGGGATTTAGACCATCTCTGTGCAGAGACAGGCTGGACGTCCAAATTGAAGGATTCCCTTGGTCCGAACCTTCAGTTCGCCACATATAGGCATTTGCTTATGTTTCTGTTTTTGGCCCAGATCTTCGAGCTAAGTGCTATTGTTGACTATTGCTCTGAGTATTGAATCAAACCCACACCAGCCCACCATGACACCTGAACCATCCAACATATCAGAAACATCAATCCACTTTCAAGATTTGCTCACAGAATTGAACTCTGGCGTGAGAGGCAGCCATAAAAGAAAGTTCTGGTAACTTTCAAAGCTTCAAATTGTCACTGGCACATGTTGTCTCACTATCAGACTAGTGGTCCAATTGAACCATACATACATGCAGCTCGGTGGTTTCCTCTCGCGATCGACCCATTCAGTGTGCTTGAGGATGTCTTGTACAAGGGCATGGAAGCTGAATTTTCTAAACCATGGGCTGACACCTCAGATCAATCCGAAGAAGCTTCAGGTTTAAATAAGTAAGTCTATGGCAACCTAAGATATCCAGTCTTTGATATTTTACCTGTGCAGTCGTCAGAAGGAGTTGTGTATAAAGCAATACAAAGAACTTGTGAAGCTTGTACCAACCTTCAGCAACATCATATCAGGATTCAAAAAAGTTCTGTCAGCCATGGACAATTTTATCCATGCAGTAACACAATCATGTTCATCATTCGTGTTCCTGTCTTACATCTAGCCAGCTCACGTGTGCCGCAAATGATGCACGATCCGATGATACAGGGAGCCTGATGCGAGAGGGGCTGCTATATATGCTCAAGAACCCTGAAACCGACCAGTTTGACCCACCTCTACTCAGGCAGCAGGGTAAGATCATTCGTGGATGGAACCACCCTCAGACTGCGTGACTACTGTGCCAGATGCGGATGCTCAACATGTTTGACAAAAATCCCCAGTAAGTCGTTGAAAGTACAACAATTCTGATGGTGAGTCTGAACAATGTGTTGGGTCTTGCAGAACCTAGCTGCTATTCAACCCTAAAGGGTTTCTGGACCAGGCCCAAGGCTCAGAGTAGAGGAAATATCATAAAAACTTGCTGAGCACTCAGACTCATACTGGTAACTGGTGAAAAGATTGATTGATTATGTAAACTACAAAAGTGCCAACATAAGGTAAGGTAAAAATAGTCTCTACAAGCCCAACCAGAAATAAATCCCTACATCGTGCTAATATTATTCATTTTCTCGCATGTAACCAGCTATAGGAACTTTATGGATAAGGTAAAGGAAGGTCAGATCACAATTACAGTTGCAAAGCTTCCCACATATCTATATGATGAGTCTATGTTGGACCTCGCCAGAAAAAATTGAGGTTGTCTTCGAGGATACTACCTCAAACGTGTATGCTTGTCTTTCATGTTCTTGTTCACTGAATACTATTTTACAATTTGAGCAGGTCTTTCGCCACATATTCACTGGACCATTGAGTGCTATTTCTGCAACTGCTCACAGAGGCACAAAGGCTCCAAAAGGTCGAATTCACAGTATGAAATCGCCACTACCACAAGCAATTGCGTATGCAGCCGTACAGGTAAGCTCTCGTGCGAGATTCATGCACTTTAACTGATCATTAATCTAAGGCATATTTCCAGCTTAGTTCTGCAACACAATGGTGTCAGCAAATTGAAGACTTCGATCTTGTTCTATTATATGATCGAATAGTCAATATGTTCGAAGGCGATAGTACTAACAAGCAATGGGCGCAAGAAACACTCGACCATTGGAAGTTGTAAGACTATTCGACTCTTCTTTTTTAATGCTGATCCATATTATGAATAGAGAGACTCCTGGACTCCTGCGGCGTGGGCGCTCCAAGGCTAGAATAGATGCAGGACTTCATGCATTTGAAAGCGAGGATGACATGGATGATTTTTTGAATCTGATGAGCGCTTTCCTGATAGTGGAGAACAGGGCTCACAAGATAGGACTGAGAACAGCGGCAATGCAGGGAACTGTCACAACCCCTTAAATGAATTAACGCAGGGCAGAGACTAGGACTCAAACAAAGAAAGATCACAACAAAGGATAAGGCAGCAGGTACGTCTTGGATTGCTCACTAGGAGATACAAGAGGTTTGAACTAAAGAACTACTGACTACGTCGAGCTACCTATATACACATATTGAAACTGAGATCGAAACTGAGTATGAACTAACTAACCAATCAGAATAATTAAAGGTATTGTACGATTCTATATATAACTATGATGTCATAACATGTGCTGCAGCCACAGTAAGACTCTGGAACATTCCAAGAGTGTCGCGAGGTATGACATCAATATCTTCGGCATTGTCCAATAAGTCACATGACTCTGGTAATTCTACAATGGACGCAATAATAGGAACTTCTTCAACAGTAAACATTTTCTTAGGTAAAGGTGCTGTGACTGGGTGCTTAAAGGACTTAGAGTTTAGGAACGAATAATGGTTTGTATTTGGAACTTGTGACAGGAACACACATGGTATTCCTTTCCCCTGTAATTTGAATTGTGCATATAGCTAATGTACATTCTGGCCCAGCGGTGTCAGATAATAATGAGTCACATCAGGTAGCTTCAAGGACAGTGATACGTGCATCACACCAGAAGAAAGGACACCACTGACTGCAATTCGACTTTGTATAATATTCGCCTACTGCAGTACCATATTTTGTATTATCTTGTAGTGCCTGACAGTGTCATATCTTTCTTATAGCTCACCACTCCAATGTTTACACTTATATTGGCTCGTCCCCAATGGATGTGCTTATCTCCTCATAGTTGTCTTTCATCAGTCTGTACTCTAACTTACATCGCACTTTATTTCTGACCTGCGTGTTCTCAGAAGTGTACTCTGCATTGTAATTTGATATTAGATTTTGTTGACAAACACGATCAGTACAATTTCAAGACGCCCATACTGACAAATCACCCATTCAATCTTCTTGATCTTCATCATTTTGATGATCATTATGTCACGGTGTTTCTGGAACCAAGCAAATGCAAATGCAGGGTTGAAGGAGTTCTAAGTTCTGAACATTCTTACCCTGACATTTTGCTATACTGATTTCAAATCTTCGAGGCCATAGAACAATATGAAAAGGTGCGTAAGTGACTCCCCATTCATGTACATTAATTCAGATGCAATCTACGTTAGTTACAGTTAGTAGTTATGCCTTGCATGAGCCTGACAAACCTTGTCTTCCAGTCATGGGTGCAAGGTGCATGCCAAGTATGAGTTAGAGCCATGAGGTTCCAATCGAATTTGTAAGTTTAGACCAAGAATTCCTACCTCCTCTGGGTACTGTCATATCCCATATATTCACGCTTCTCTTCCGGACTTCGGACCCTGAGATCTGGTCTGGTCCAATGCATAGATCCGCTTCTGATCTGATATCTGATAAGCTTCCTATTTCATTTCCTGTTCATTTAATATTAAACACAGCCTATTTGGTATTCCTCTTCCCGGTGTTTCGGCTATACTTATTACCGGTATGATTACTGATCCGTTAACCTATGCTTCATTTCCGACTCGCGTTTGATAACCTTTGCACATGCTTCATACATAGCCTTTGGACCTTTGCTTACTTATTGTTTCGTTATCCTCTTAGTATATAAACCCGTGTATATGTCCTGTAGTACCTCAGTTCGAATATCATCTTAGTTTGTCCTCTTTCTGTCCTCCAGACTTGAGTCTTCAACTCTTGTCAAATCTCTGAGACTTCGGATCGATTCCGATAGTCTATACTCTGTTCGTTTCTAGTCTGGATCCATCCAGATTAGTCTTATATGTGTTTCCGATATCCGGAAATCATCCAGATATATCTATGAGACCCGTCCGGACCTTCGGACACGTTATCGTTAGTACTTTGAAATAAGGGACAAGTACTTGGGAAAGGGGCACAGCATACGAGCTGAGGCCGAAGTCCTTTGGATCCGATCCTACGAGAGTACGACCTTAACAGGTACCATGTTAACTATAGTATGCTACACCATGACAGTACAACCATGATGAGTAAGTCCAATGATGATGCATTCAGCCCGTCCAACACTCACAAAAGAATTGGGACTTACACATCAGTACAAGATGATGCCACAGCTGCAGCTCGTTACAATCAACCAAGACTTTAGAGTTGTGGGTCTCGTAAATCATGTTTGTGGGATACCTGGGCATAACAGGTCCTCATGATGATGTAAGTTGTCAGAGTTGGGGACTTAATGTGCAAGCACCATCAAGTTCTGGATCACAAAGTCTCAATAGCCATTAGTTGCCCAAACTACGATAACTGGTACCGAAGTATGTGTGTTCTCCTACATTATGAACTCAAATTTTACAGATTCAAACAGGTATAGTGTCAGAGTCAGGCCAAATGCCCTTGCACTTACTAGTACTAGTATCACTCGTTGTTCCGTGCGTGATATTTCCTATCTAGTCGTCTCCCTGGAGAGTCATATACAGGCCAATGTACTTTTGTTGTCTAAAGCATCCTGTGTCACAATCATCCTCGAGTCCTCCGAGTCTGTTCAACATATCATGGGATAGTACTCCACAGCTTCTACAAGTCTCGCAAATAGTTAGTATCTCGCTTGTTCACTCTCCAGCCTGCGCTACTTGCAAAATACTCACTCAGGTACTCAAAATATTTACTTAGTACTAGTCTCTGCAGAATGTACTGACTTGTGTCTTCATCAGCCAGAACTTATTTTCTCTGGTCTCAAAAAGAGAAGTTGAAAGCAAGACATAAAACATGATATTGGTGCGTTCATCATCATGTCATGGGATATTCACTTTGAGCTAAACTCATTGTCAGGCTCATGGTTCAGAGGAAAATAGCGTATATTGTACCGTCGAATGTTTGAGATGTTTTTCGCCCATAAAATCATCGTAAATTAATATTATATGGCCCTAACTACACATGGTTGCAGTGAATATCTACTAGCCTATTCTGTGTGTCTGTTGCTACCAAAATGCCAGTTCATTCCCCGCAAGAACCTGTAACAGGTCCAATATCTGCATGTACCTGCACTAGTAATAGCATTCAAGGACCCTCACATGCAGGGTCATAGGCGAGTACAGGCCCCGAATGCCGAACTCAAGACTAGTATGCACTGGGTATCTTGTACTAACCCAGAACAGGAATAAAGTTGAGATATAATGTACCTGGCATATTTTGGCCGGTTGCAGGGATGGTATGGGAAGGAGTATGCATATAAATACAAGAGACTGCAACTGTTATAAGTATTGTATTAGTTTGTATTTAACATGATGCTAAACAAGAGTCTACCGGGTGACACAAGCACAACAAGGCTTGTAGGAATGTGCATTGAAGTTCATCACCTATACAAGAGACACGTTAGGAATGACAAACACTACAAGAGTTATAGTAGAATGTATTAAACATGACACAAACATGGGTCTGCCAAGTGACACAAATGTCACAAGGCTGGTAGGAACGTGCATTGAAGTTCATCACCTATACAAGAGACACGTTAGGAATGACAAACACTACAAGAGTTATAGTAGAATGTATTAAACATGACACAAACATGGGTCTGCCAAGTGACACAAATGTCACAAGGCTGGTAGGAATGTGCATTGAAGTTCATCACCTATACAAGAGACACGTTAGGAATGACAAACACTACAAGAGTTATAGTAGAATGTATTAAACATGACACAAACATGGGTCTGCCAAGTGACACAAATGTCACAAGGCTGGTAGGAGCGTGCATCGAAGTTCATCACCTATACAAGAGACACGTTAGGAATGACAAATACTACAAGAGTTATAGTAGAATGTATTAAACATGACACAAACATGGGTCTGCCAAGTGACACAAATGTCACAAGGCTGTTAGGAACATGCATCGAAGTTCATCACCTATACAAGAGACACGTTAGGAATGACAAATGCTACAAGAGTTATAGTAGAATGTATTAAACATGACACAAACATGGGTCTGCCGAGTGACACAAATGTCACAAGGCTGATAATAGTATGTATAAAATGTCACTGCATGTACTGCAGTACATGGTTACTTGCAAGCCCAACACAAGTCTGTCATGTGTTTGTGGGAATGGCAGCAATTGTGCACCTTGTATCGGCTGTTACTGGCTTGTTACAGAGTGTTACATGGTATGCATGATTTTGGGTTTTTTCCGATGGTACAGCATGATGAAAACAATAGAGCTACAGATCGCACAAACATATGCACATACTATGTAATCATTTCTCACTCTTGACTAGCTGAGTCATTGAAGGTCACCTGACTCATGGGCTATACACAGCTCTTGCTGACTCATCATTATACCAATAAGAGTTATGAATATTTACTTTTTGACTCAAAGATATTGTGTAACTTGGTACTATCACAGTAAAGTTACAACTTTAAGTATGAGAAACTAGTAGTATAGCCACCAATTTGTCTATATAAGGAGCTGTTTCTTGCCTAATAAATACATGCCCAAGTGCCACTTTTACCCTCTCAGAATAAAATTATGAGTAAAGTGTGAATCAGCATTCAGCAGGTGCAGTTCAAGGTTGGAGCTCACTGTGCTCAACAACCAGCACAACATATCTGAGCTCACTGTGTCTGATGACTAGCAAGACTAGTTTTATTTTTCTTTCGTTTCTTCTGATTGTTTTTCTGTTTTTCTCTGTCTCTTTTTCTCTCTGTGTCTATATCTGTGTCTCTCTCTGAGATTGTCTCTGAGATTGTTTCTCTCTCTGTCTCTCTGGAAATGTGTCTGAGATTCATGACTGTGAAACTAACATCTCTGTTTCTCAAAGTGTGTGGTGTGTTAGTGACTGTGTGTGCTGACCATCTCTGTGATCGCTGTCTCTGTGTATTGTGATCATTAACGGTTCTCAAAGTCAAACGTAGAAAAAAATTCACAGCAAGATTTTGCGTTGCCGGTACGGCATGTTCAAACTCCGCCCTGCCCTGTCACTCGACATCGTCATTACTGGCGTCGATGGTGCCAAAGATTCA